TAAAAGAAAGAAAAAAACACCCATGGAGAGCCTGACCCACCTGTACAACGCACATCGCACCCTTGCCCCTGTCTTCATCTCGGGCAAGGGTCCCACCCACCCCTTTCCCACCCCATGCTAGTGCAGCGCCCTTCCACTCACAGTCATCTTGGGGATCTTGAAGATGCGCACGTCGTTGGTCACGGTGCCGACCACGACGACGATGCGGTCCTTGCGCTCCGGCTGGTTCATGAACCGGATGATGCGCGCCAGCGACATGGGCGGCCGGTGCAGCTTGCTCATGAACAGGCGGCGCAGGATGATCCGGTTGAACTTGGAGCCGGTGCGGCGCGCCAAGAACCGGTACAGCTGCCGGCGACAGGCTCAGTGACAGGCAGTGCCTTCACGGATGGGAAGGCAGGCAGGGGTCCAGACATTTACCCCAAAACATTTTGCTAACAACATTAATCCCAAATCCAACCTTCCACCCCAGAACTTCACACATCTTGCACACACAAAAGGCAAATTCTGACAATGTATGCTGCAAAGAAAAAAATATGTAGCTGGCCATGACTGATTTTGCAATTAGAAGAGAAATGTCAATGCAATTCCAGACATGAACCACAGAAAGAAGGCAAAAAGCAGTAGCTTGGGAGTGGGGAATCATCCCTCACTGCCAAATGCGCTAACATGACACAGCAAGGAGGCAGGCACAGAAATGGGGACAACAAAACAACATTAGACGCTGTGGCCTTGCTAGGTACACAAATCATCAGTGAATGATGTTTGAAAATTGCATAGCCAGCACCAAAGAACAACTGTGTATTTCTTTGGTGCATGTCAAATGTCTAGAGAAACAATAGCACCATTCCATGGGTGCCATGGCACAAATCCAATCTGTGATGTCTCACAAGACACTGTTCATTGCAAGCTGGCTACTGTGGTATGGTGCATAATACTTTAACAGCCTTAAAGACACCAAACACTGTTTACATACTGCAAACTGGCATCTTACCATGAGCAAGGACTCATTCTAATTAGACCTCTTTAAATTCTCTGTTCACTCCACTCCAATTCCTGTTTGTCCACCACCTCCCACCCCTGTTCAATCTCCAACATGGCTGCTCCATTGTGCACCATCTGCAAGGCTCAAAGAGCCCAAATTGATCTGATTGACCATTGATTTTGAAATTTACCATTGATCAAGTGCTATCAACTGGCTCTCAATCAGTGTTGCACATGGTACATTGATGTAATCTAACCGTGACACATTCGCTTTAAAAGTATGCCCACAGTTATACGTGAGCTTGTTTCATTAAATCTCATGCTTGCTTTATTTTCTCCAAATGTGAAATATTCCCTTTCAATTTCTGGAAATGATAACTACAAAGTCCTTTTCTTCCCAATATGGGCTACATCCCAACCTCCCATTTTATAGATGTCATCTATTCTGAAACTACTCAAATACATAACCTTACCTTAAATACATCATACATCATCTACCACCCTTTTCTCACTACTCATAATGAGGTCCAACACTCATCCCATAGAGGGGGTTTGCACACCAGCTGAAGAAAATTTCTTCAAGATAAGCAAAACAATGGCAGCTTTTTCACAATAGGCCAAAATCTATGCTGCAGCCTGAGGTATGCACTATGCCTTGCCTTCCATCCCTTTCCTCCAAAGCTAAATCATCCCCAAGAGCTGAAAACTTGGGAAGCCCTGGATTTCCACATACCCAGGGAGTGTTTCGGATGATGTTTGGCATCACTGAAACACCCTATGTACTACCCCCCATTTCCACAGCTTTCAATCAAAATATACAATAAGTAACATCAAATAACAGAGAATTCAACACTTATCTTTCATCCAATATCTCATTAATTTACATCACATTTACAAGTATATGTTAGAATGACATGCATCTTGACACCAATCTTGACTATGACACAATTTCAGAGTACAATCCAGAAATATTGAATCATGTGGTACACAACACATTCCGTTTTATGCTCCTCTCTGACTTTCTGCCAATCAGGAGAGGGCTTTTTGTTTTGAGTGCAGACAGGAGCTTGGCATGCCCATGTCTAGGCTCCAACATCCTTATTATTGGTGGATGGCAGGTGGGTTGGCCCCCTACATTTTTATGGTTCTTGATGCTGCTTGATGCGCAATAATGTTGTGACCCGCGCATTAATGGCGCTGGTGTCGCAGGTGCTGTGTGTATGCGGCGCCCGGGAGCTCGCCATCGTAATTATAAAAAAATTGAAGGTATGATCATGAATCTACCTGTTTTGTGAATATTTACAATATGCCCTGCCTTAAACACGACGAATGGTTTACCTTGGTCCCGTACATTTTATAGAGTTCTTGGTAAGCAGAAATATTGTGTTTACGCAACAGCAACGCAGAAACAGCGCTGGGGGGTCCAGGCGGTGTGGTGCGCGCGGCGCTCGGGAGCCCACCATCGAAGTTATTGAAATTTGAAGGTAGGAGCATGATTCTACCTGTTTTGTGATTATTTATGATATGTCCTGCCTTTAACACGACGAATGGTGTACAATGATTTTTTCTAATATTAGGTAGGAAAGTACACCCTGACCCCACATGGAGCTACATTTCTTGAATGCGACTCTCCACTTACCGCAATCCTAAAATGTAGTAAGACGGTCGTCAGCAAAATATTTTACAGCACAAGCCAAGAAAGCTCATACAAGCTCAATTTTATTCTCACCTTGACCAGCAAACGCAGGTAGACATCCTGAGACTTGGGCTCAGTGCGCCGACTCTTACGCTCGTGCTTATGACAAATATCGATGCCCTGGGGGAAAAAGTCAGTGTGAGAAAGTAGCACGAACACACTTCAAACTTATTTTTTTGCTGCACATGGCCCGAATCCCAATTGTATGTAACAAAACGATACTGTTTACATACCATCTTTCGCCAATTTCGATGGGAGCGCAGGAAAGGAAGCGCCGCGCCACACCGCCAGATATATTAAATACGCTGATTTTGCCTTCTTATTCTCTATTCGCTTTCAAATTTAGGATACAAAATTCCAGTCAAGTTTCACAATGAAATAAAAAATTGTATCGACATATCATTCATTTTCATATGATATCCATATTCAGCAGGTCTCACTAAAGCAATGTGTGTTCTTGAGTTTGGAGTTAAGAATTACCCTCAGCCGGCTCCATAGAAACTAAATAAATATCAAGAACCACACACATTAGTTTTAATACTAAAAAAGGAGCATTTGAGGGTTGCATGTTTCGGAAACCTCAAACCACTTTTTTAAAATCTTGATAAATGGGGTTGACTATGATGGCGCGTGTAAGACAATTAAGTTGAAAAGCATACGATATGTCTCTGCGAGAGTACACCAGATCAACTGAGCATTTGAGCGACCGGTGCGGGTCAGCAGAGGGTCTGCGCGCCACGCGTTCCCACGTACCTGGTCCGCACTGCTGTAGCTGGGTTTGCGCGCTGGGGCGGTAAGGTTTCCTGGTGGAAGTGCGCGTCCAGCTGGTCTAAGGCCTGGTTTGTGCGTGTGCGGTGCGTGTCATGCGATGTAGAAGTACCGTTCGGATCGTTTTGTGACAGGCGCTGCCAAATTATTATAAGTTGTGGGTGTTGATTGTTAGCACTGCGAATGGCTCCTGACCCAAGGCTAAATGCTGTTGTATTCTTTAGATTGCACATTCTTGTGAGATTCATTGCTATGTAGTGGATAGATTTAAACCAGTTTAAATTGCAATTGTCACAGTATTCTAATGATGATTTTTAGCTGAGTTCTGCCCGTCCCCATCCCCCATAAAAATACTGACCACTGGAAGTACATTGGATTTCAGTTAACTTTGTATGCACCAAAATGTTGTTCAGATGTTCAGAAATATGAGGCCTGATTTTTTTTGGAGAAAAATCAATAAAGTGGTGATGAAGTTTTAGAATGCCAGAATATGTAATCCAGCTGGGCAGACCAGGAGGCTTTTTCCAATTCTTTTGAGCACAGTTTCTGGAAAGCCAAGACCATTTCTTTCATTTTCCATTTCTTTCCAGTGGGTATGGACATGATAAACCTAATATCCTATCAGCCATCATATTAGTGACTGTGCATGGATGCATTGTGCACCTATGATGTCAGCTCATTATTGAGGATGCAAGCAATAGATTGTTGCTCTCAACTTTGATGTATTCTCTGGCATTGTGATTGGGTATAATATGCATCAAGATTTTAAGGGCAAACTATTTTTCATAGTTTCTAGCATGTATCTTTTGGAAACATTTCTGAGATATGGTCTTATCCCTTCTTATAACATGCTATTGTTACTGACTTTCTTTGAGAGCCTTACTGGTGACTGAGCCTTAAAGCTGAATAGGCCCACTGTCTATTTGTTAGAAAAAAAACTGGGCATTTTTTATGCAGTTCAGTTTCACCACTGCATGTCTGGCATGCAAAACAGCTGTTGGTGTACAAGCCTTTGATGTTTCCAGGCATCCAGTGTTGCCTGGTTGCTGTTTGAAGAAACTAAATTGAAATGAGATGTGATCACAGTTCAGTTTTGTCTATTTTCTGTGATTATTTTCAGATTGCAGGATGAGTGAAATGGCCTCAGGAGACAAAATGGGAGGTGAAAAGAAGCAAGTTCGTGTCTGGTGTGATGGCTGGTGAGTTTGGATTTGTGTAACATCTAAACAAGTTATGGATACATGATTAATGTTATATGAAACATGCAGATTGTTTTATTTTATGAACACATCACCAGGATATATGAGCCTTTTATGACATGTCATCTAAAGCTATCTTTTATCCTGTGTAGTAATTATAGATTTAATCATTCACTTGTTGCTGCTCAATTATGTATATTCAACTTTTCTAGGACACTGTTATGTCAAATGACTCAAAACCATGGCAGTTTTGGCATATTGCTGAGCAAAAATGGATAAGCTGTTAATGTTCCTACATCACAAGGAGCTCAAAAGGATTCCTATCCACTAACCAGCACCACTGTTTCAGCTACGACATGGTACACTTTGGGCATGCCAATTCACTGCGTCAAGCCAAGGCCATGGGTAACTACCTGATGGTTGGAGTGCACAGTGATGCAGAAGTCACTGAGCACAAGGGGCCACCTGTCTTCACAGAACAGGAGAGGTCAGTCCATGCCATGTCAGGAAGATGCCATGTGAAGATGCTGGTTGCTGCAGTTTTCCAGTTTTCAGCCTCTGGAAAGCTGGTGTGTGCCCATAATGCTGCCCCTGTCCCTGTCACCCATGTTAGCTTCCCACTGTGAGGGGATCAAGCCCACCTGATGCATTGTCTCTGTGTGCCTTGATGGCCTTACAACTCAACCAGCTGATGGGGCTATGTGGCATCACCTTCCTCTCACCCTGCCAGGAATGGCAGGCACCACAGTAAATCAAACCCTGTACATGTCATGCCTGAGAAGCATATCTTAATCACAGCACTACCAAAACCCTTCCAGTTGCCTCCAGGTGTCCTTACATTAGATACCACAGTCTGCTGACTAGTACCACAGTGTCAACCTGTCACCCTCCCCCCCGCACTGCCGGGCCCACTCCACTGACCGACCCCACTGACCTGATGCTCTGGTCCACCCCCATCAGGTACAAGATGGTGCGTGCCATCAAGTGGGTGGATGAGGTGGTGGAGGCGGCTCCGTACGTCACCACGCTGGAGACACTCGACAAGTACGAGTGCGACTTCTGCGTGCATGGAGGTAGGCAGGACTCATGGCCAGCTGTGAACTGGGCATGCAGGGGCGCAGGGGGCTGTTGTGAGCTCTGTCTGCGTGGATGTACCTTGTCTGCTGGGAACTGTATGTGCGCTGTTGCAAACTACCAGTTGTTACTACTTACTGGTATGAAAAGGGTGCATGGCTTTCCCTGACATGCATTATGGGCCCTTCAGGTGTCCAAACTACCCCGTCAGATCCCTTGTCAAGGTTGACACATGCATTGATGCACCTGTTTATTGTGCATATGGGCGACCGTTTAATGATGGATGTGCAGTGGCGAGATTCCAAAGATGTTGCTCATAGGCCATAGGCTAAAAGAGCTGTGTTCGGCAATTTCAGCGCTATTGAGCCTGTGCCTTCTTCCCAGATGACATTACAATGACTGCTGAGGGCGTGGACACGTACCACATCGTCAAGGCCGCCAACCGATACAAGTGAGCTGAGCACCGAGATAGATGGGACGTGACAGATCGGGCCCCGAATGCTGTAGAGTTGTGCCTTGCGTTGTGTGCGAGTGTATTCTTGGCCTCCTTTTTCTCTCCAGCCCTCCTTGCAGGGCGAGTGTGTGTATGTGTGGGTGGGTGGGTGCGTGCGTGCGTGCGTGCGTGCGTGCGTGCGTGCGTGCGTGCGTGCGTTGAGCCTGTACACGGAACTGTGCATCTTGATTTGTGCATAGCTTTCAGCTTTAAGCTGGGAGAAGGATCTGGGAGCCTTGTTGCCAGGTGCCAGCCATGGGATGTTAACATTGATCGGCATTTGGGGCGGCCTCATTCAAGCATCACACTAGAATGCAGATTGTCATCCGTTTTGACGCACTGACCCTCTTGTCCGGGCTCTGGGGTGCTGATGTAGCGTCAGACTCGGGGTTGCTGATTTGGAGCTGGGTTCTGGGGTGCTGATGTGGAGCCAGACTCTGGGGTGCTGATGTGGAGCCAGACTCTGGGATGCTGATGTGGAGCTGGGCTCTGGGGCGCTGATGTGGAGCCAGACTCTGGGGTGCTGATGTGGAGCCAGACTCTGGGGTGCTGACGTGGAGCTGGGCTCTGGGGTGCTGATGTGGAGCCAGGCTCTGCGATACTGATGCGGAACCAGGCTCTGGGGTGCTGGTGTGGAGCCAAACTCGGGGTGCTGATGTGGAGCCAGACTCGGGGTGCTGATGTGGAGCTCCGCCCGTCACGTATCACCGCTGAAGTCAACAGCAACAGCAGTGACGTGTCTCCTAGCATGTAAAAACACGGATATCATGCAGTCAGCTGCTGGCAGTCCAGTCCACCAGCGGAGTCATGGCCTGGGTGCTCAAGCCGAGAGAACGGAGGGAAACGCGAAGGACAAATATCACCGTGCGTAGAAATTTGGACGTTTTGTTCAGGGAACACAATGAAAGGTGAACCTGGGCCGAAGCTGGGTTCGAGCCTCCATCCCGTCACGTTTCTCGTCGGTGCCTAGCGGCGCGGCGGTGGGGTGTGCCGCTGGCCCGGCAGATACGGAGGCCGGCCACCGCGCGGCCCGGGCGGCCCAGACGCGCCGGCCGGGTCGGCTGACGGCGGACTTTGTACGCGTGGTCCGTGGGGCCGTGGCATTGAGAGACAGGTCCTCGCTGCGGGGTGTGTGCCCTGCAGACGGCATCAGTTGGGGGGGTTGGGCGGCGGATACCGAGCGACTAAGCAAGTTGTGTGTGATCTGCCGCCCCTCTCCCTCCTTCCCGTGAGACGTCGTCTTCTCCGCCCCACAGAAAAAGCGTCTGCGAACCAGAGATATGTCTGACCCCGTATGGCGCCGTCTTCTCTGCCTCACAGGGAGTGTCTGCGGACCAGAGGTGTGTCTGACCCCCGCGTGACGCCGTCCTTACCCCACAGGGAGTGTCTGCGGACCAAAGGTGTGTCTGACCCCCGCGTGACGCCGTCTTTACCCCACAGGGAGTGTCTGCGGACCAAAGGTGTGTCTGACCCCCGCGTGACGCCGTCTTTACCTCGCAGGGAGTGTCTGCGGACCAAAGGTGTGTCTGACCCCCGCGTGACGCCGTCTTTACCCCACAGGGAGTGTCTGCGGACCAGAGGCGTGTCTACCACGGATCTTGTGGGACGCATGCTGCTCATGACTCGCAGCCACTTCAAGGTCAGTTCGGGGTCGCGCTGGTCGACCAGAGCGTTTGCATGGGCCTGTGGCCATCTCCGGTATAGAGAGGCAAAATACCATCGGAGAATTGGAGATTGGCTGTTCTGCACTAGTGATCGATGAGGCGACGAAGTGTTAAGCCCATTTATTTTTTTGCCGTATTCGGATGACACATAGAACTCGATGAGCGCTGTTGTCATTGCCACTGCGCAGCCCCGTCCGTCCGCCCTGCGACATTGACAACACTGACAACATGTGACAACTTCCAGTACCGGTGACAAAGTGTCCACTGATTCCACACAGCGGCATCACTGTACGCTAATGGATACTGAATCTTGAGTGACCTCACGCCGTTGCACTTCGGTGTCGAGACAGCGTGTTGAGTGGGCCATTTGGGCGTGATCAGATGAGATACGGTCGAGGACGGTGCCGGCGGACAGGGCCGTGCTCAAAGTCCGGGGCGGCGCGCCGCGCTGCATCGCGCCCACTTGGACGGACGGACTTTGGTCGAGGTGTGGTGATCAGAACGTACGCTATTGCACGTGCTGCATCTCGTCACTGTTGTGGCTATAAAGCAGGCTCGTGAACTGCGTTGTGTGCTGGGGCTACAGGCTCCGAAACTGCGGGTATGTGCTGGTGCTTGGAGCATTCAGCCTGCGTGACCACCCCGCGCGTCAGCTGTCCTAGTCCGGCACACTGACCTCTGCGGTCTTGGTCCGGCATACCGACCTCTTCGGTCCCAGTCCGGCATACCGACCTCTGCGGTCCCAGTCCGCCATACCGACCTCCGCGGTCCCAGTCCGCCATACCGATCTCTACGGTCCCAGTCCAGCATACCGACGTCTGCGGTCCCAGTCCAGCATACCGACGTCTGCGGTCCCAGTCCAGCATACCGACGTCTGCGGTCCCAGTCCAGCATATCGACGTCTGCTGTCCCAGTCCGGCATACCGACGTCTGCGGTCCCAGTCCAGCATACCGACGTCTGCGGTCCCAGTCCAGCATACCGACGTCTGCGGTCCCAGTCCAGCATACCGACGTCTGCGGTCCCAGTCCAGCATACCGACCTCTACGGTCCCAGTCCAGCATACCGACGTCTGCGGTCCCAGTCCGGCATACCGACGTCTGCTGTCCCAGTCCAGCATACCGACGTCTGCTGTCCCAGTCCGGCATACCGACGTCTGCGGTCCCAGTCCGGCATACCGACGTCTGCGGTCCCAGTCCAGCATACCGACGTCTGCTGTCCCAGTCCGGCACACCGACGTCTGCGGTCCCAGTCCGGCATACCGACGTCTGCGGTCCCAGTCCAGCATACCGACGTCTGCGGTCCCAGTCCGGCATACCGACGTCTGCGGTCCCAGTCCAGCATACCGACCTCTACGGTCCCAGTCCGCCACACCGACGTCTGCTGTCCCAGTCCAGCATACCGACGTCTGCGGTCCCAGTCCAGCATACCGACCTCTACGGTCCCAGTCCAGCATACCGACGTCTGCGGTCCCAGTCCGGCATACCGACGTCTGCGGTCCCAGTCCAGCATACCGACGTCTGCTGTCCCAGTCCGGCATACCGACGTCTGCGGTCCCAGTCCGGCATACCGACGTCTGCGGTCCCAGTCCAGCATACCGACGTCTGCTGTCCCAGTCCGGCACACCGACGTCTGCGGTCCCAGTCCGGCATACCGACGTCTGCGGTCCCAGTCCAGCATACCGACGTCTGCGGTCCCAGTCCGGCATACCGACGTCTGCGGTCCCAGTCCGGCATACCGACCTCTGCGGTCAGCGCTGGCTCCGTCAGAGATGACTGGGGCTATCGCCGGCGCATCCATCCGGACATGCCTGACGAGCGGCTCCGTGCACCTCATGTGTAGGCGAAGCGGATTGTCTGCGCGAGAGCTGCGCTAGCCCAAGGGAAGCAGCTTGGGGCCTCCACTCTCATCTGCCTCGAATGATATCGAACCCGTAAATGGCCAGAACAAATGGCTAGGGCAATGAGAGCCCTCGACAAACATTTGTCGAGTGCTTAGCCCCGAGTGAGGGGGACTCTGGACACGATGCCTGTTCTTGCTATCAGACCTATAAGAACGGGTAATCTGTGGACTTGACCTGACGTGACCCCTGCCCCCAAACGGGTAAGGACAAGTACTCGGTGGACCAGACTTGACCTGACCCCTGCCCCCGAACCGGTAAGGACGAGTACTCGGTGGACCAGACCTTACCTGACCCCTGCCCCCAGACCGGTAAGGACGAGTACTCGGTGGACCAGACCTGACCTGACCCCTGCCCCCAGACCGGTAAGGACGAGTACTCGGTGGACCTGACCTGACCTGACCCCTGCCCCCAGACCGGTAAGGACGAGTACTCGGTGGACCTGACCTGACCTGACCCCTGCCCCCAGACCGGTAAGGACGAGTACTCGGTGGACCTGACCTGACCTGACCTGACCCCTGCCCCCAGACCGGTAAGGACGAGTACTCGGTGGACCTGCCGCCGGAAGCGTCGCTGGAGCAGGGCGCCACGGCCCACAGTCCCTGGACGGGCGTGACTCAGTTCTTGCCCACCACCCAGCAGCTGATTCAGTTCTCCTCCGGCAAGGTGCCCAAGGTAGGTGTCCGCTCCGACGAGGCGCGGGACACAGACCCGCTGGTGAGACGCCGTGGGGGCTGGTCAGAGGTCGGCGCTGACTGTGGCGTCTGAAAGCACGTGTGCGGCGCCTCACTGGTTGCTCGTCCTGCGCTCAGACACACCGGGCAGACTTTGATGTTTTGGCCCTGGTTTGTCATGCAGGGATTTGGATGTCATGCAGGGCTTCCCAAATTGCGATACACGTGCTTTGGAAATTATCCGTGCTTTGGCCGCTCAAGCGTTTTTGACGTTCACTGACAGCGCCTGGCGAACGCTCAGCCGGTGCCTGTGAGTCCCAGGGGACTGAGACACCTCAGCCGGGGTAAGGGTCATTGGAACCGCTTCCGACCACAAACACTGGTACTTATACGTACTATGGTACCGTGGTGTGTACTTTTGAACTGTACCGCAGTGCGGATACTGTGAAAGCGGGTAGCAGGCGACCAGTTGCATAGCACGGGCCACCCCTGTGACGTGTGGTCGTGACCCCTGGTCACCCCTCTGACGTGTGGTCGCGATCTCTGGCCACCCCTTTGTCGTGTGGTCGTGACCTCTGGCCACCCCTGTGACGTGTTATCGTGACCCCTGGCCACCACTCTGATGTGTGGTCGTGACCTCTGGCCACCCCTCTGGCGTGTGATCTTAACCCCTGGCCACCCCTTGACTTGTGGTCGTGACCCCTGGCCACCCCTCTGACGTGTGGCTGTGACCTCTGGCCACCCCTCTGACCTGTGGTCGTGACTTCTGGCCACCCATCTGACGTGTGGTCATGATCACTGTCCACGCCTCTGACGTGTGGCCCGGACCTCTGGCTACCCCTCTGACGTGTGACCCTAACCTCTGGCCGACAGCCGGGCGACCGGGTGGTGTACGTGGCCGGGGCATTCGACCTGTTCCACGTGGGTCACCTGGATTTCCTGGAGAAGGCCGCGGCGCAGGGCGACTTCCTCATCGTCGGACTTCATACGGACCCAATAGTCAACCGGTCGGTGGCCGCCCTGACAGCACCTTATGCTTCAGGTTCTTGTTATCTGAGTGGAGAATTTCAAAGGGGCTTTGGTGACGCCATATGTGGCGTCGTTACTCTCACGATTATGTCTTTTGAGCGTATTTTTATGTTTCGTGACATATCATTTGCTGTATTACGCAGGAAGCGTGCTATACCAGCAACTTAATCTGGGGGCCAATAGTTTGCTCGCGGTTTCTTCAAGGCAGTCATGTTGCGTTTCGTTCAGTTTATTGACAAGCAATAACAGCTGTATATATGTATATATATATATATATATATATATATATATATATATATATATATATATATATATAACGTAGCCTCATACAGAAGGTGACATGAGATAGATATTAGACAACATATCTACAATTAGCCGATTTGCAAGTGCTTAATGATTAAGCAGATTCTGGAAGCTCATTGGAGCGTTACATGCTGGAGCGTTGCATATGCGTCACGTGGCCATGCAAGTAACGCAGTTTGTGTCTCGTAATCACCCGCTCTGCGTGAGCTTTCCAAACCACAGCCCCGGAGGTATCTTGTTATACAGCTGACATGCCGGCGACTTGTGCGTCGGGGTCAGATGATGGTGGGTCGTGTGTTGCCCTCACGCCCCTGTCTGTCTCACTGCGGCGGCCACTCCGCCTCTGGTCCTCACTGCGGCGCCCGCTCCGGTCACGCATCCGGTCGTCCTCCTCGGCGTCCTCCGGCCCTCAAGCTGTGCCATCCTCAATCCTGTTTTGCTCGCTAGCAATGGTGATCATTATGAGACTTCTTCCCGATGCATGCAGCTGCCGAAATCATGAGCATCGCCACTCGTGCTGGCAATCGGAGCCGGCAAAAGTTCCCCGCGCCGAGAATCGAACGTCTAACCGCCGCCCTCCGCCGCCGCCAGCTACAAGGGCTACAACTACCCGATCATGAACCTTCACGAGCGCACGCTGAGCGTGCTGGCGTGTCGGTACGTGGACGAGGTGGTGATCGGTGCGCCGTACCCGGTCACGCCCGACCTCATGGACCACTTCCGCGTGGACGTGGTGTGTCACGGCACCACGCCCATCGCCGACGACGTCGGTGAGTGCTCCGGCCGGGCGGAACGGCGACGGCCCGCTGGGGAAGGAGTGGTGGCGAACGGCTGGGTGGGGTGGGGTGGGGTGGGGGGGGGGAGGCAGTTCGGTTTGGCGCCCTCAATGTTAGTCGTGCCTGATGTAAAGGGTAGCGAACGGCTGGGGGGGGGGGGGGGGGGCAGGTCGGTTTGGCGCCCTCAGTGTGAGCTATACCTGATGTAGAGGGTGGCGAACGGCCGGGGGTGTGGCGGCAGATCGGTTCGGCGCCCTCAGTGTGAGCTGTACCTGATGTCGGGGTAACGAACGGCTGGAAGGGGGGGGGGGGGGGTGGCAGATCGATTTGGTACCCTCAGGTTAAGCTGCACTTGGTGCAGCTGAAGTGGTGATGACTCAAGGAATGGTGTTATACCATAGATAATTGTTAATGTGTGAAACTATTCTGCATGCCTGCGGTAGGTATGAGGCGGCTTAGGTGGCCAGCAACTTGCATTTGAAATGGCCTGTTTATCTAGCTGGGAACGCTGCACCCAGCGAGATTGAGGGGCTTTGTAGGCATGGCTGATTAATGTGTCCAGCACTGTTTAATATATGCTTAGATGTGGCAGCAATATGTAAGGATCGCTAATTTCCGCACATCGCATGACTGTTCAGCACAGTCCAGATGCAAAAAAGATAGAAACTTGTTCTGCACCTCGAATTTTCTGTGGAGGTGCCTCTGCACTCTGTAAATCACCATCGCCGCAGTTCTGGACTCCAGTCACCAGGTGCCGTGACGCAGCCAGTAACAGCTGACCTGACCTGCCCCAACCTGACTTGGCCTTACCTGGCCTGCCCTGCCCTGCCCTGGCCCGACAGATGGCTCTGACCCGTATGCTGAGCCGAAGCGCCGCTCCAAATTCAAGCAGATCGAGTCGGGCAACGACATGACGACGCAGAAGATCGTAGAGCGCATCATCGAGCACAGGTACGGGCTGAGTCTGACCACTCTGCGCCACAGGTACGGGCTGTGTCTGGCCTCTCTGTATCACAGGTATGGGCTGAGTCTGACCACTCTGGTCCACAGGTACGGGCTGAGTCTGACCACTCTGGTCCACAGGTACGGGCTGTGTCTGGCCTCTCTGTATCACAGGTATGGGCCGAGTCTGACCACTCTGGTCCACAGGTACGGGCTGAGTCTGATCACTCTGGTCCACAGGTACGGGCTGAGTCTGACCACTCTGGTCCACAGGTACGGGCTGTGTCTGGCCTCTCTGTATCACAGGTATGGGCTGAGTCTGACCACTCTGGTCCACAGGTACGGGCTGAGTCTGACCACTCTGGTCCACGGGTACGGGTTGAGTCTGACCACTCTGGTCCACAGGTACGGGCTGTGTCTGACCACTCTGTGCCACAGGTACGGGCTGTGTCTGACCACTGTATCACAGGTACGGGCTGAGTCTGACCACTCTGGTCCACAGGTACGGGCTGAGTCTGATCACTCTGCGCCACAGGTACGGGCTGAGTCTGACCACTCTGCGCCACAGGTACGGGCTGAGTCCGACCATCCTGCGCACGGCGCGGCGCTGCTATGAACATTGGGGCGAGCCGTGCTGCTGGCGCGCGCGGCAAACTGTGGTAGCGTGCTCATGTGGCGCACCATGTTGGTGCCATGATGCGTGGATGGTGCTGACGACATGGCACCGTGATGTGTTTGTGTTGTGATGTGTTGCATTGTGTGTTGTTGCGATGCGGCACATGTTATCATGTTCCCAATGTCAGCGTTGGAATGTGATTCTTCGTGCTGTCGTGATTCTCGCTATGTTTGGGCCATGACGGGGTGCGTTTTGCTCTTGCATTTTGGTGGTGCACGGACATGTAGTGCTGTGCTGATGTACTGCGGTAAGATCATGACAGTCGTGCGCCGGTCCTGAAGCTGACCGTGTCTGGTGTTGGATGCCCTCGTCGTCACTGTTTGTTGATCGTGTCCTCGGGCCGCCGGGTCCTGTCGTCTCTGGGGCCTCCCACCACGCCGTCACTGGTGTCGGCGGCCTGTATTCGCTGCAGCAGCCCGCAGACGACATCGTGTTGCCGCCGTCACCGAGTGGGGGCCGAGACTGATAGCTTCTTTTAGCTTATCTTATATACTTGTTTTATCTTATTCATAATTCCAAGTTTTTGCCTCCTGAAACTAAGTTTTTCGTCAGCTAATTTGTATCTGAAGAATCCCACGTCCACTGACTTTGGAATATTGGAACCCTGCACGAGCACGGGTGACGTAAAACACCGTCATCTCCACCGACAAAAAAAATCCCGATCCGTCAAAACCTGACAACACTTAACCAGATGGTATTCAAGTTCACAGGTCATCCCAAAGCGGCTCTTATGCTTGCGTTATTTCGATTCCCGGGGCGATGTTCAAAAGACGTCTTGTGGTTACGAGGAATATCCTTCGCTGTTTTTTGTTTCGCCTGCACGACTTTGTCAGCTCTCTCACAAAAGGGTGTCATCAGACCCAAGCAAATGTTTTGAAATTCTTTAACGACCGAGAATACTGCTTCTCACAGCTCTTTGGTCTTCTCAGTGAACGAAATTGTGTCTCGCATTCATATGCTAAGCCAGTGCGCTCTTTCGTATCTAATGCACCCTTTGGATTTGGGATTCGATCTCTCAAAACTAGACCCATTCTTGACTGCCAATTGTCTATGAAGTTTCTGTACGCGAGAGAGTTCTTAAGTACTCTGTGTGTAAACTGGAGATGCGAAAGCTCTTCGTCGACATCCCCATTCTTCTGATCGTATGTATGTGCTAATCTCCTTCCCGTGTTTCGGATGAACATTTTTGTACAGTTATCAGCTCTCAAAGCCTGACATATGCGATCGTTTTCGATGTGTTGTAATTTCCGACTGGGCGGCACTCGTTACGCCAGATTGTTTACAACTCTAGGCACAAACTCGGTACGTTGTCTACTTTGTACGGACCCATGATTGGGACATTTGATGTGTTTGCTTTATGCGGACTTCTTTCGGCAGTCCCCTCTAGTTTTTTTTTTTACTTGCCCATCCAAGAGGGGAATTTAATTATGAGCTTCAGTTTCATGTCCAAATCTCAACATGTGTGTATATCTCGGCGTCTCAACGGACAGTTCGAGAACATGGAGTTTGTCAGGTTGCGCCTGTGATTCATCCAGTTAACGTAAGCGAATGGTTTTGAGAAATCGAAAGGCTTCCTTTTAAAGCTGTGGCACTGACGGGTGATAAAGTTCTTGCAGGCTGGCGTACAAAGATTGCAAAAACTTCTAAGAAATAACGTATTTCTTCTGTCGTTTTCAAGAGGTAAATTGATCGAAGTGTCCCAATTATACTCATTTAAAGGTAAGCACTGGCAGACATCTATTGCCTTTGGAGAAGAAAAGCTTAATTGGCGACTGGCACGCCGCCTCTACGTTGGTCATACCTCGACATATACAAATAGAACAAGAGATTCGCTGCCTATGTGGCCCGTGGATGCTGCACATCAAATGGACATGCCCGGCCACATACTCCTTTCATGCAGCGTGACTGCATTTGGCATGGTCCAGAAAAGGGTCACATTATCATACGCGGTCTGTCTGTGCTGCGGACGGTAAAGTCAGAGACAAACGTAGACGTGGATTATCGTAGCTGGATGCCGAGCTTCGCATCGGAAACCCGACGGAAGCAGCCTATCGTTGTACATGCGTTGTTTGCCATTCAGTCGTTAAGCAAATACCTTGGAATGCACGCGGCGTATTTGGGATGTGGGTTTCTTTTGACGCTTGTGGGATCCTGCCGTCATATTCGGCTTTGTGATATCCTTGACTGTACTTGCGCTTCTGAAGCATTTGCGATGAATGGGACGTACCACACGTCCTTTTCCATAGGGTAAAATGGATGTTTCAAGTCTTTCTAGGTGTACACATACGGAAATACGCCGGATAACACGTATCATATATATGTATATATATATATATATATATATATATATATATATATATATATATATGTATATATATACATATATATGTATGTATGTATATATGTATGTATGTATGTATCCTACCCCAATGGATTTTTGTTATCCATTTCATATGGACTTTATGGGCGGAATAGGAAAGCTAGTCTCCTGGAAAATCTTGATTTTATAGTTGATTTTTGTTTTGTTTTGAGGCATAAGAAGAGTTGTCTTATGATTTATCAATATCAGACATCAGCCGTGTTTCTTAAAGCGTATTGAAGTTCTGCGAAGTAGCTCGTGGGGAGTAAATTACCTCATTTTCGCCACAGAAACGTGCGTAGCCTCCCAAACTGACGTCGCCTGGCTCATCACTACTTCGATTGCAGAATGGAGTTCATGGTGCGCAACATGAAGAAGGAGAAGAAGGAGATGGCCGCCTATGAGGCCTACTCACGCGCCCATAAGGAGGCGCAGTAGACACCATTTACACGTACCTCGCCCTCACGTACCCACGAGCAGCCCCGGTAGACGCCACATCAGGGGCGTCAGCTGCCCACGACGGGCCCCGCATACACCTCGCCTTCTCGTGCTGACGACGAGCCGCCGCAGATGTCACGTCTGAGACCTCGGGTTCAGACTGGGGTCACGCGCGAGGTCTTTGGCGTTAACCCGCGTCAACACTGGAGAGTGTGCGCCAGGGCTTGCGTGCCTCCCACCTTCACCAGTCCGGCCTAACAAACTCCGAGTGTGAGGCGGACGGCGTCGGAGTGGCGCGTGGTGTTGGTGCGGAGCTAGCCCGGCCGGCCCCGTGGTTCACGTGAGGAGCCGAGCGCCCGGTAGGTGTTGGCGCGGAGCTAGCCCGGCCGGCACCGTGGCTCACGTGAGCGTGGTGTTGGTGCGGAACGAGCCCGGCCGGCCCCGTGGCTCACGTGAGGAACCGAGCGCCCGGTAGGGGGGATCGGGGTGGGACAGGAACTGTTTGAAGCCATGATGCTGTGTGCTGGTTTTTCAGCGGGCGCTGCAGTCCGTTTGGGGCCAGCGCTGGGGTAGTCGGGGGTTGAAAACAGCGCTAGTCAGCTGTCGGCCCTCGCCCGGAAATTACGGGCGGCGGGTGGAATCGAGGAGCAATAATGGCCAGTGTGGTTGGAGTCGTCGATATGCTCTTAATTTCTGAGACGAAACTCCAGCTGCGGTTTGTGGAGGGCGGCCGTGTGGGCGCTATGCGTTGGTTCTATTCAGTTCTGCGTGGTGTGCTCGTAATTGCTTCCGCCTCCAAGCTTGGCGGACATCACGCGGGTCGAAGTAAGTATGCATGTAGTTGAGTGTACTGCAGCATCGGCACACAGTATCCCATTTTAATCTGGCGAACTCAAGGAATTCGTCCTCGCGCACTCCTAGTCACGTGATACATTTTCGTTGGGCATGTCTCGGCTCACCCCCGCTCTGACGAACTTCGTGAGCGTGCCACCAGTGCATGCACCACACAGATGTATGCGCCGCCGGCTGGTGTGCGCGGTGGGAACACCGGACAGAGCATGGAGAAATGGGCGATGGACGCACCAACCAGCGGTGTTGCATGCACTCGCGCTCCGTGCGTAGTGCGTGCAACATATGTATAGGTGGTGTAGCGTGCGCTCGGGTTTGCCGGTCACTCAGTCCCTCGTAACGCACGCCAGTTCGCTGCGGTGTGTATTGTATCGTCCACGAACTGACCTTTCAGTTGTCCGTCACAAACTTATGTACTGTTAAGGAGCTGGTGGGAGTGGGAGCTGGGCGCGTCCCACGGCGATCCTGATCTCGTTTGATTCCTGTGCGGTAGCGGATGGCTGGCCTTCGCGGCCGTCTTCATTGGTTGCCACTTGACGCCCCGTGGCAGTGGCCATGCTTGAACAGGCGTCTCTTGCCACCGGTCGTCTCCGGGTTATCACCGGCAACGGCCGGTTATCGTTGGTGTGCCGGAGTTCCACAGCATCGAGCACGTGGTTATTTTATCATCACCGTTGATGAACTCTCGTTGCGGTGTCGCTACGTGTACCGCCTTACTTTTAATGGTGGTGAGGTTTGCAGCACCCTACATCGACTTCCGTAATCATGAATGGCTCCTGGTTGGTCAGGAGGTCTTCGTTAAGTTCAGTGATTCGTCGCTTCCCCACCGCTTATTCCCGATTGGCCAGTAGGGGTTGCTTCGCGATTCACGCACGTTTATCTTGTGATTATCCGATGTGAATAATACACGAATCATTATCTGGTGTGGCGGCTTGTGGAACGGGAGACGCCCAGTCTTAAAAAAGTGTTGAGTGAGACTGACGCTTCGCAATACCAGACTCGGGTCATCACCCAACGAACGTGCGAGGATGGTCTGATCTGGCAAAGCACCTGAGACACCAAATACAACGCCTGAGGACACCGAATTCGGGCTGAATTAATTTACAGACCAGGGACATCACCAGGCACCTGCGGTGGGTCAGGCGAAGGTCAAAGGACGACCCTCACCTGTACAGCACCGCTGCGACCTGTGACGCGTTGCAAGCATTCGGGACGTGCCTGCCTGCACGTCTGCGGTGACCATCTATCCGCTGCCACCTGTCGTGTTCTTACATTACGCCCGTGTAGAACGTATCGCGGGAGGCCACATTACTCATACATTTTGAGGAAGCTCCACAGCGGCTGATTCCTGGCAGTCCATAATTCGCTCTGCCTGCACATCTGACGGTGGTTTGTGGGCTTGGGGACGCTTCGGGCGCCACCTGCACATCTGACGATTGTTTTTGGGCTTGGGGACGCTTCGGGTGCCGCCTGCACATCCGACGATGGTTTTTGGGATTGGGGACGCTTCGGGCGCCACCTGCACATCTGACGATGGTTTCTGGGCTTGGGGATGCTTCGGGAGCAGCCTGCACATCTGACGATGGTTTTTGGGCTTGGGGACGCTTCGGGCGCCACCTGCACATCTGCGCCCGCGGGTGTGCCAACGTTCGTGGCATCTGGCGCTGCGCATTTGCGCCGCAGCAGCGACGATGCATAAACAGCTGTCACGCCTGCATCCCCTCACGGCCACACCGTGAGCAAAGGCAGGATTCACAGCATTTCGATGGCTCTAGTACAAATATGCTCGTGTAAATTGATTTTGGGCACTCCAGGAATATATCCAAGCAGAGAATAATCCAATATAGAATCGTTGGTCCCATGGAGGGAGCATGACATTTATTTACCAAACGTATGGTATCGGGAAAGTTCGGAACGCGCAGACCAAAAAAGCGGGGCGGCATTGAAACACACATTGAGAACCGGCATCAATGCCGGTGCCAACTTAGCCATGAACAACACGTACCCTTCTTGATGCCCGATGCCAACTGACTGAGAAAGGCCGTGCCATTGAAATGTACATTTGCACGATGTTTTTGGATAAGCGAGAAAGCACACGAAGAACATGGCAAGGACGGCACGTAACTGTCTCCAGCAGTGAAAGCTGTGACGCCTGCTTGTTTCACCCAGCCTGCACACGCTGCTGAACCTTACCTCCATGGCGCTGTCAACGCTCGCCCTGATAGAGGGGGAAGGGGGGGGGGGGGCGATGCAATGTACATGACTTAGCGAGGCCAACCGTCCAGTCAACACTGTGATACCGCGTCAGCTGCTGGGACTAGTCGGGCCCTGTCCACCTCGCGGAGCGCGGCAGATTCGGTTCCACGTCCGACGCCTGAAAATCCAGCTTTCATGGACTAGACTCTATTTTGGCTCATAGGACAGGTCAGCACGTTGTGCATCTCCTCGTCGCCGCGTCCATTCACCAGCTGTTTTATTAAACAAAATATGATCACAGGATGGCGGCGTTTTATTCCGGACATAGTTTGGCCTACGTCGCTCCGGAGTCCCGGAAAGGAGCACGGAATGGCTCGTCCGCCCGCATTCCGCCAGATCTCCCACCGTCGCGGCAGACAATCACCCATACACAGCCGACTGAAGCTCTCCACAGTTTCAGCTGAGAGCATCGGATGAGAACGCGGCCGTGCGTATACCGAGAACTCTCCACAGCCTCGGCCGGCAGCATCGGACCGATAACCCAGTCGTGCGTCGGCTGAGAATTTCTCAGTCGAGAAGCGCTGACAGAGTGCCGACCGCCGGCCGCTGAGGCACGGATGGCCGCTACGTCTCGTGGTCTCGCCTCCTCTCACACCCACTTAACTATGTAGAAGTTCTTCTTGCCTGTGAGCCGGGAGCCTTGTCAGTGCCCGTGGCTGCACGCGGTGACCAACGCGATCTACGGAACAACATCGATGCAGGGGACGCTCACAGCGGTACCGCAGACGGTACTGCAGACGCTAACAACGGTACTGCAGACGCTAACAACGGTACTGCAGACGCTTACAACGGTACTGCAGACGCTTACAACGGTACTGCAGACGCTGACAACGGTACTGTAGACGCTGACAGCGATACTGTACACGCTAACAGCGGCACTGCAGACGCTGACAACGATACTGCAAACGCTTACAACGGTAATGCGGACACCCACAACGGTACTGCAGACACTAACAACGGTACTGCAGACACCCAGAACGGTACTGCAGACGCTTACAACGGTACTGCAGACGCCAACAACGGTACTAGAGATGTTTTACGGTAGAACGCATGGAACGTTTTTGAAATGAAATGAACAAGAGTTTGGAAAGCTTTCTGCGTCTAAAAGTAACTGACACGCTATGTGGACGGAATAGCTGGGTTAACAAGAGATAATAAGAACGCCCATTTACGCTCCTATGAACTGGTTTTATTTCGCGGAGTGCTTTGATACAGTCTGGAGTCTGGATGATTGTACCTGGGCAGTGAGGGCGGAACAGCATGTCTACAAGGGAAGACGTTTTCCCATGTTTTACAAGTGAGCCAGTTTCTACTGGTACATACTGGTTCATGTGGGATGCGACCGCCGAAAGCGACAGTGGAAAACCAGCAGCTCAACCCCTCCATCAACCGTTTCAACACGAGCCTTCTAACTCTAGCGCGGCACAAACATATCACGCCCGTGGCCGGAGCGTCATGTGGATGGCGCGTGACAGAGCAGCCCCGATACCGCCAGCGGGCGGCCGATCACGTGGCCAGCTCGAGACTCACCGACCCTGATGAGCGTCAGGCCGTTGGGAAGCACGTGACTGTCTGCTGTGACCACTTCCTCCGTCGAGGCGACGCGGCGCTGGTTGATGTGCAGACCGCCGGCTTCGATAATGCGCGCCGCGTCCGCTGGCGGCAGCACCGTCGCGGCGTGGAGCAGCGGACAGGGACAGTGACGTCACGGGTCTCCCACATGTTCTACCGATGTTGATTTGGTACGGGTTTCCAATGGAGACTGATTAACCCAAAGTGGTTATAATCCCAACGCGACTGCACCTACATTCCGATTTAAATTCCACGTTGATAGATTCCCGCTGCGATAGCGAATGAGCACCGCCAGGTTACGCTTGAAGTGGCGTGGTGCACGCCTGTAGGGACCCTTTATTGAAGTCCGCCATCAAAGCTGTTGATAACCAGCCAAACAGCTGTCGCCGCCCAGCGGCCGTGATGACCTGGAACCTGGGTCGGCCTCTATGACCGAGGACCGTCCGCGGCAGCCGGCACATCTCCCGCGACGCCGGGCCGACCGGCGGCGCGGGACAGGTGGTGAGGACATGAGGAGTGGGCGCATCGGGCGGGCACGCCAACAAAGTCACCAGCGGCCGTTTTCGGCGGCGGCGACGGCGACCGACTCACCGTCTCTGCTGAAGCAGCCGGCCGCCATAGCCAGCTGCTGGACGGTCAGACCCGGCGTCAGCATCAGCTCGGTGACGGGCGAGTGTCGGAACATGGCGCGCAGCTCGGCGTCCGCCAGCCCAACCAGAGCTTCCGGATCGCGTGAGTAGATGGCGTGGGTGACACGCTTAGCCGAGCGGAGGCCGTCGGCGCCGTGGACGAGCATGGTGACCGACTCAGCGAGCTTCTTCTGGGCGAGGCGCGACTCTGGACTCGCCTGCGGCAGAGTAGGAAAGTCGCTGGCCGCACGACGCCCGGAGCCCGACAACCGCAGCGGCGACGTTCGAGGTCAACAGCTGCGACGAACCTAGGCGAACCCCGCCCCGAAGCTGAAATGAGACGCCTCTCACCATGTCATGAGCTGGCGAAAAATCCCCAGAATAGTTGGAAGGCATCTCCGCAGTGATTTCGAGCGGCGCGTCCGGTGCGGGGCACTTCACCGTCTACGATCCCTCCCCAATCCCCCGCCGCTCCCGCCGCATCCCCGCCCCCGCATCCCCGCGCCACGCGCCCACGAACACCATTCAGAGGGCGGCGCGCCCACGGCGCCACGCACCCTGTGCCTGGTCATGATCTGGTCTATGTCTGCCGGCGGCAGGAAGGTGAAGAGGCGCAGCAGGCGTTCGACGTCCCCGTCGCCGCGCCGCACCCAGTACTGGTACAGGTCGAACGGCGAGGTGCGCTCCGCGTCCAGCCAGACCGTGTTGCCGGCCGACTTGCCCAGTTTGTCGCCCTCCTCCGTCGTCACCAGCGGCACGGTGAGGCCTGGTGGCGGTGGCGGTCGGGTAAGCGGCGATTTGGAACGTAAGCGGTCGCCGCTCTGCCAGACGGCGGGCGCCATGTGGCGTCTGAACCGGGGTGGCCGTCTCTCGGTGTTGGAGGGCCCCCTGAACGGTCCTGCCAAACAGCGGGCGCCATGTGGCGCCTGACCTGAGCTGGTCGTCTCTCGGTGTTGGAGGGCCCCCTGAACGGTCCTGCCAAACAGCGGGCGCCATGTGGCGCCTGACCTGAGCTGGTCGTCTCTCGGTGTTGGAGGGCCCCCTGAACGGTCCTGCCAAACAGCGGGCGCCATGTGGCGCCTGACCTGAGCTGGTCGTCTCTCGGTGTTGGAGGGCCCCCTGAACGGTCCTGCCAAACAGCGGGCGCCATCTGGCGCCTGACCTGAGCTGGTCGTCTCTCGGTGTTGGAGGGCCCCCTGAACGGTCCTGCCAAACGGCGGGCGCCATCTGGCGCCTGACCTGAGCTGGTCGTCTCTCGGTGTTGGAGGGCCCCCTGAACGGTCCTGCCAAACAGCGGGCGCCATCTGGCGCCTGACCTGAGCTGGTCGTCTCTCGGTGTTGGAGGGCCCCCTGAACGGTCCTGCCAAACAGCGGGCGCCATGTGGCGCCTGACCTGAGCTGGTCGTCTCTCGGTGTTGGAGGGCCCCCTGAACGGTCCTGCCAAACAGCGGGCGCCATGTGGCGCCTGACCTGGGCTGGTCGTCTCTCGGTGTTGGAGGGCCCCCTGAACGGTCCTGCCAAACAGCGGGCGCCATGTGGCGCCTGACCTGAGCTGGTCGTCTCTCGGTGTTGGAGGGCCCCCTGAACGGTCGTGTCAGACAGCAGGCGCCATCTAGCGCCTGGACCGGGCTGGTCGTCTCTCGGCGTGGTTGGACCCCCTGCACAGCCAGCCAATCGTCCGCCAGCCGAGCGGAGTGCAGCGAGCTGCGTCGGGGCTTCGGTCACGTGGCGTCCACGACCACCAGTCTCCGCGGAGACGAGCACGCCGTCATAGCCAGCATCATATGCGTTTTGCACATCAGCAGCGGCAGCGAGAGATGTTGTCAACGCAAGCTCTTGACCGTATTCACAGTTTTCAGGACAGACGTGCTGGGGCAGTGACACATGTTGTGTCCGTGGTCCACATAGTCACGTCGGACGAGAAAAAAACAACGCGTGTTCGTCGTCATCAACACAACAGGCGTCACGTACGCATCTGCCCTTGACATTCTCACTCTAAAAACTCACCGAACAGATCCACCTGTTCGTCGGTGGTGCCCGTCACCAGCTCGTACCCCGACAGCATGTTGCCGCGCTGGTCGGTGCCGCCCACCTGGGGATCCGCGCTCACTCAAACACGCGCACGGATGTGACGTCATACCATGACGTCAGCGGCACGAGTAGGAGTCACAGGTACAGTGCGTGGCATGGTATTACAGTGGTTTTGCGCCGAAGCGTTGTCGGTACGCCAGCCTGTACCGTGCCCGGACGTAGGAATTCCAGCCCGGGGGCCTCGCGCCGGACTATCACGCGCCCATCACTATATCGCAGACTGGTAACTGCCCACCACTATATCGCGGACTAGTAACTGCTAACAACAAGGCGGGGTGCACCACATACCGCCTGGGCGTTACAGCAAACGCATGTCATCACTTGACGGGGACCCGCGGAGCGGTAGCACCAGTTGACGGGGACCCGCGGAGCAACACCACTTGACGAGGACCCGCGGAGCAACACCACTGGACGAGGACCCGCGGAGCAGCAACACTTGACGGGGACCCGCGGAGCAGCAGCACCAGTTGACGGGGACCCGCGGAGCAACACCACTTGACGAGGACCCGCGGAGCAACACCACTGGACGAGGACCCGCGGAGCAGCAGCACCACTGAGAGCATTTCCGAGTACAGAGAGGGAGCACGGTTGAGAAAACTGTGATCAGTCACGGTTACCGTTCACCCCTCAGCCCTCACCAGCCATGCTGTGTTGTGCACAGCAGCCGGGGTAACACAAAGTGACAGCGGCTGTGGTACCACACTCAGCGACACAAGGAACCAATGTCAACGAGCGGAAATAGCGTACCAAAGGGTTCATAATTACACCCAAAATTAAGATCAGCTTTGTCGAGAATCATATGGCCGTTATGGCCTTATTTACCTAGCTACACTGGAAACACGCATACGAATATTAGGCAACGCTTATTGGGTGAGAGGCTGGTAGACAAAGAAGGCCATCGCTTCTAGCAACAGGGGTCGCCCAACCACCCGCCGGCCGCCGACGGCGCGGAGTCACCATACCTGGAAGCAGCAGCCATGCTTCCGCCACAGGTACAGCCAGTCGTAGGCCTGGAACATCTGGTAGGTGAACTCGGTGAAGCTCATGCCGTCGGTCGAGGAGAGTCGCGACTGCACGCTGGTGCGGGACAGCATGTTCGACATCCGAAGCCTGGCGAGGAGTGCGGCATGAGTTGCAGCAGGGCGTGCGGAGGGTAGGGTGGGGTAGGGTGGGGTGTGGGGGGGGGGGGCGAGGGGCGCCAGCTGTCAATGGCCATTGGCACGGCCAGGGTTGGCTGCTGGGCTTTATGGGCGGAGGCCGACAGCGTCAACGGCTCGGGTCAGAGCAGGGTCCAGGGCTGCTGGGTTTTAGGGGCGGAGACCGATAGCGTCGACGGCTAGGGTCGGAGCTGCTGGCTGCTGGGTTTTAGGGGCGGAGGCCGATAGCGTCGATGGCTCGGGTCGGAGGACAGGATCCATGGCTGCTGGGTTTTAGGGCCGGAGACCGACAGCGTCGACGGCTAGGGTCGGAGCAGGGTCCAGTGCTGCTGGGTTTTAGGGCCGGAGACCGATAGCGTCGAAGGATCAGGCCGGAGAGCGGGGTCCAGTGCCTCGGCGGCCAGCGACTGAGGGCGCTCGCCGTCCGTCGGTATGGCAAGACACACGCGGTACTGAGCCACACCCATTATCCGTAGTCACAATACTCTGTGGTCATGGACACTTCAAACGTGAGCACGTCGTGCAGTCGAAGACCGAGCACGCATGGCATTGCACAGCTCCAGATTGGAACCATGTGTATGCAAAGGTTTGTTGGCCGACGTACAGGAATGCCATGACTCCGCCATCAATGAACCGCCACGTGCGCTGCCGCCTCATCGCACCTGCGGCCGATGATGGAGAGGAAGTCCACCAGGGAGTACTCCGAGTACCAATCCGCGTTGTTTAGCACGCTGCAAAAAGACAGACAGCTGCGAGAACATGTCCAATCCCGCCAACAGGTGAGCGTCGCGACACCAATACAGGCGACACCCGACACCTCCAGTGAACACTGGGAAAAACCAGCCCATGTCTGTCCTCAAAGGAGGACCACCAGCGGACCCCTGTTTCCTAAAGCCACACAATAGACAGGGTCCGTCATGCACCCTACCCCATCGCGCCGCCCGGCCAGCCACTCCGGCTGAGCCAAGGTCGACCTGCAAGGTCAGCTATCGACGGTGCGGCCGCTGCAGATGCTGACATACATCGGCAGTCGACCTGGACACCGCCAGGCCTCATCAGATCCGGCTTAACAGCCACCAGCGACGACCGCCACCGCCAGCTTTTGACTCCCGGTTGTTCACTGACGCTAAGGTCAGCATCGCCGCTCTGAGGTTTAAGGTTGTTCGGCAGCTAAGGTCAGCATCGCCGCTCCTGGGCCCCCAATCTGACACAGCCCTTCCATTGCCTCGTTTTGACTTCCATCGTAAGTTCCGAACCCTTAACCCAAACCTTTCGACCCGACCAGCAACGGCCCGGGTGACCAGGCCGCTGTGGCCAGCTGGTCACACATGGCGCTCGGCGAGCCGTACCGCAGCGGCGTCAGCGGGTCCGTGTGGCCATGCTCGGTCCAGAAGTGCCGCTCGTGGTTGGTGAACACGCGCCGCACGTTCTCCTCGATGGCGGCCACGTTCCGTTCGGTCGTCTCGGGGTCGAGCGGCGCACGTTCCGTGCGGCGGCCGCTCGGGTCGCCGATCTGACCCGTGGCGCCGCCTATCTGCCGCAGGGGAAGTTTGGTTTGTGAAGGGGTAAGGATAGGTGGTGCGAGAACTACGCAGAAGGCGCACTGGCTGACGCCGTTCTGGACAAGACACGCGACTTCTTGGCACTTCTTGAGTATGGGCTGTCCTCTGGAGTAAAAAAAATCAAAGTGGGTTAACTGAGCCGAGCTTTTACAAACCACTCCAACTCCTCCTCCCATGAAGATGAAAAGAAGAAGTAAATACTCTTTCGGGACCCATCAACAGGAGACAGACCCAGAACGTGATGTTTGGGTTGTTCTGAGACGGACGCAGCTGCCAAGATCAGAGCATCACCACTTGCCACGCCAACTGCGGGTAACACCGGAACGTAACTGACCCCACATTCCAGGCCCAGTTACTCATCAGCCGCCGGCTAATCAATTCACAACCGAGTTGCGATGTCTGCGGCAGTGATGTGCTGGATGGCACCCTTGAGGAGCGGAGAAAACTTTCACTGCGCGCCATGATCAACAATTGTATGGTAAACTCATCACAACAAGAAATGTCAATGCCAGTGCACGTAATACAGCCTCATCAACAAACCGTGGCCCTTCAGCCCCAGCAGACCCTCATCATCTGCTGCCTGGGGGGGGGGGGGGGGATCGGACAACGACGCCGTCTATCACACACACTCCCCTCGAACCATTCGCACCAAGCTTCCGTGACCAAGCGGGACCGTGCAAAGGTCTCCTCTTCCAGACAAGTCCGTGCTGCGTGACGCCGCGAGCCACGCGGCCGGCGTCGCCGGCACCTCACCACTGTCACCACCTCGTGGCCGGCCCGCTGACAGTGCAGCAGCGCCACCAGCACCAGCAGGTTGCCGACGTGCAACGAGTCGGCCGTGGGGTCGAAGCCGCTGTAGAAGCACTGGGTGGACGCGTTCAGCACGTCCTGCAGGCGCTTGCTACGGCACAGGGAGAACAGCAGCGGCGTAAGGGGCCGGTCCAAGGCGATAAGTACCGGCGGCTCCACGCCACATCAGTGTTAAGCTGACCACGGTCCGGGACGATGGCCATGCTTAAGGGTAAGGGAGGGGAGGCGAGGTCGGCGAAAGATTGGAGAAGTCCTCGGTTACAGTGACGCCACCAATTTTGAATGGACCAAGCTATGTGTACGCCCTGGGACCCGTGCGTCGCGTGACGGCGGATCACGAGTACAGCCCCATGTGACGGTGCATCACGAGCCCAGCCCCACGTGGCAGCGGATCACGAGTCCAGCCCGATTTGACGGTGGATCACGAGTCCAACTCCATGTGGCGGCCGATCACAAGTCCAGCCTGCTGCGACGGTGGATCACGAGTCCAGCACCATGTGACGGCCGATCACGAGTCCAGCCCGATGCGACGGTGGATCACGAGTCCAGCCCTATGTCATGGTGGATCACGAGTCCAGCCCTACATGATGGCGGGTCACATGTCCAGCACTATGTGATGGCAGACCACATGTCCAGTCCCATAAGACGGTGGTTCACGAGCCCAGCCCATGTGACGGTGGATAACATGTCTGGTCCCATGAACTGCAGCAACAGCTGCTATCAGTCCTTACCTGTCATCTGGAAAAACTTCAGACAGCAGTCCCCGCTCTTTTAGGTGTGTCAAGTTCCTGGAAGAGTACCATCTGAGTCTGGCACCTCTGATGTTTCTGGCAGTGCATCTCTGCTGGACGCCATGTGCACCCAGGCACCTTAGGATGCGCAACATCCTGCAACAATGACAATGTTGAATGGCAAGAAACAGATCAACATGGCTCACTGCATTGTGATGATTCCATAGGTGCCTTTCACATGCAAATAAGTCTCAAGATTTTTGAGACCAGAATTTCTTTGCAGTGACAGGCAGCAGTAGTTTTGGAAGCACCAGAGTTTCCCTGTGCACATTTTCCAATGATATCTTGGACCAAATGTCAGCTAAGGGATACCATTTTTATAGCAGAAGAGGATGCAGAGATGTTAGACTTGCTAAATTTCCAGAATTGATTTGCTGCTGCCATGACAAAGGACATGATCACCAATTGCATACAGCTTTCATTTCAGGATGATAAATTTGTCCAAAGGATGACACTCAACAATTAGGTATGTAGTGACATGGGAGCACATTGAAGAATTGTTCTGTTATGACTATATTAATAATTCAATGCTGGATGATGGTTCCAAAATGTTCCAGTGCATAACCTTGATATTGTAAGTAAGGCATAACACCACTGATCACACCTGCAGCTTGGCAGCCTTCATAGTGTGCAGCTGATCATAGTGGCATTATGCATAGGCAGCAAAATACTTGTCCATGAGGCACCACCAGTGCACACTGGCTGTGAGGAGACATGTGCCTGGATCACATGTGTGGATCCACAATTCAGGGTTGTGGGGAAATGAAAAGAATTTAACAGCTGCCTGAAGTTCTACAAAAAATAATTTAGCCCACAATGGAAAATAAGCATTTCTTTAAATTTATCAATGAAAGGACAAATGAAGAAATGTCTATCACAAAATGCTTTTACCAATGACAAGAGAAAACATCTCTCTTTGATGCAGGTAAGACATGTGACTTGGGATGACACAGACACTCTCTTTTGATCAGCTCTGCAATCAAATGTCAAAGCACCCAACCATTAGATGCTGTCACACATAACTACAATACCACATCTCAAATGCACCACAACCAGAGCATGAATAGAAAGTATCACATGCCAAAAGGTTTGAGCCAGCAGACTTAAACACATCCCAATCTTTTCATCTAGTGTGCTCAGGATATATTCCATTGACACATTTAAACACATGCCCTAACAGAGATCAAAATCACTTTATTTTGATCAGGAATTCCATCAGTATTTGATCAGTAACACAATGCTGTTTACGAACGTACAGCAACTATGTCTGCTGAGGCTATGTGGCACCGCCTTTCTCTCGGCTATCGCCGCAGCACGACGGGAGCGCACCCCGAGTAGCCAAACCCCGTAACCCTCCCGCAATTTCTCAGCTGAATCAGTAACGCTGGTACCCCACTCAGTTCATCAAATGCAATACACGAGCACAATTGCATGTACCGCGCCACGCTCAGAATCAAGCAAAAAAAGGAGCTAGTGCTCTTGGGCTACCAAATTGGGATCTTGCAAACATTTTACAGCTTCATAAAGGGAAAAACGCGTAAAAGCGAAACGAGGTGCGAAATGCGGACCTAGCGGAGCAAGGCCCGCACACAGGGATAGTCCGCAGGGTCCTGTGAGGGGGAGGGGGGGGGCAACGGGATTAGCGCCAAGACGACAGAAATAGTTTCTTCCTGTAAGCGACCCAATCGCTGTAGCATTTGAGGTTTGGACCAAATGCGTTGCTGGCGTGGTGCCTTTCTTGGTAATGAGGTGCCTTTGAAGCAGGCTTGGGTATATACGAGGGCACGTCCTCCCACTGAGGTTCCGAGGCGCCGAAGAATCTTCTGGAGCCAACAATTGAGGCCCGATTTGAGAGCCTGAAGTGCCTAAAAATTCGGCCGGAGGTGGTATTCAGGAGACCCGGCCCGCAGGGTCAGGGATTTCAATGTTAGCCAGAGGGTCACTTGCACTGACCGGTAGGCCCTGAGTCGCAGCTTTGTGTCGGCATGGGTCTGAAGGCTCATTTTCCAAGCAGGAACAAAGTTGGGGCTAGTGGTTTACATTGTTCGGGGCCCAGCGTCTGCCAGGGGCCCGCAGTGCCTAACAGGGGAGCCCTGTGTTTGCAAGCGCCCCCGAGGCGACCGGAGACAGTGTTCAATAAGGCCCGAAGAGCAGCTCGTGGAGGGAGAGTGGGGGGCGCCGAGACCAATGATCAAAGGCCTGACTGGAGGACACAAGGGCCAGAAAGCTGACTTTAGGCCACATAAAGGATCCCGGGCGGAAATATCATTCAGAATGTCACTTCCACCGATTGAGTACCGTCTGAGAGATAATGGCATTTATATCGGCCAAAGACAACCAATACCGGACAGCAGGCTCCGTGTCGCTCCGAATTCTGAGGTCCGGGGACCCATTTCCTAAGCAGGAACAAGGCCACCACCCACGATTTGTATTGGTATTGGTACCTGAAACAATGGTCGGGGACGCTGTGTCGGCCAGAGGCCCGCGGTGCCTAACAAGGTGTCATGTGTCGGCAAGTGACCCAGAGTCCGTCACCGGCTTCGTTTGAGGAGGCTCGAAGAGGGGCCAAAGGGCCTGCTGGACCAAAGATCAAGGGGCCAACTGGGAGCCTGAATGGGCCGATGGACCAGGAGGACTGGCCGTGGGTCACAATAAGAAATCCCCTTCGGCCCGTAGGGCCGTGACCTCCGGCGTCAATCGGAGGGTCTCTTGTTTTGATTGAGGACCGTGGGACAGTACGTTCCTCTCTTCCGGCCTGAGAACACTGACACCGAACAGCTAGCTTCCTTGTCGGTCCGAGCTCTGGGAGTCCATTTCCGAAGCGGGAGCAAGGCCAGGCTTGGGATTTGCATTGGCCGAGCTCTTGCAACATTGCAAGACCTCTTTGTCGGTTATGGGCCCACAGTGCTTAACACAGCGTCCTGTGTCAACAAGAGGACTCGAGTCAGCCAGGGGGACATGTGCTGAACGGGACGGGCACGGGACCCCGAATGCCGCTTGCGTTGGTCGAGACAATGGAAGGGCCCCGTGCCAGTCAGGGGTCAGCGGTGCCGAACGGTGGCCCCTCCAGCTCAATTCCAGCCTTGAGCCCGTTCAGCCGAACTGGAACTGGAACTCTATGTGCCAATTATTAGACCACTTACGGAAATCCGCGAGCTTGTTACGTCATTGAGGGCCCCGCATCGATCTGGAGCCAACTGCGCAGGTCAGAAGGACTTCCGCGCCAGGAAGAGGACCTTATTTGATATGAGATATCCTTCTAAGGGCTTCCGGATCGATTACCATGTCACCGCCCCATGTCACCAGAATGGCAGCCGGAAGGCAGCCCACACTGGGGCGGAGTATCCCTTCAGCCCTTGACCAGGAACGAATATGTGCCCCTAGCGTCCTACCCAAGGGGTCCCTTGCCCGAAAGTTGAGCAGAGTATGTCAAAATGAGCTCAAAAATGAAAAAATTAACTCATGTTTGCTTGAGAACCGTCATCTTTTTGGACACTCTAGTAGTGAAGCAAATTGCATGCATAATTTTGAGCTTGCGCGCCCGCAATCTCTGGAGCAGGAACACCTATGGTCGGGCTGTAGTTTCTGTAAGACCGAACGGCGTTGACCGCTTCGAAGAACATCAGGCGGCCGGCGGCGTGCGCGCGAGAATGACCGTCTCGAAACAATGCTCACGACAGCCTTTAAAAAAAACCTGTGCCGCTCAAACATAAGACAGGGAAAGCCCTTTTTTAAGATGTGGAGTTTTTTTTTTCTAACTCGGTTAGTAATGACAGCAACGTGAAAGGTAGAGTTTCTACCTTTACGTTTTCAGTTCTACCACGGCATTTTCGTTCCACTACGGCATTTAGCTACCACTTAATGTTAGCCGAGGGGCCGACGCTGAGCAGCCTGTGGAGACTGCAATACCGAGGTTTTTGTTGCCAAAGCTTGCGAGCGGCAAATTCAGAACTCTGCTGCATTATTTTTCTCACGAATAAACTCTGACTGAACGTTGGACCTTTCCAGGCAAACACGCGTTCAAAAGTTCGCGGTGCCCTCAATTTCTCTGTAGAACCTCAATCTGAATTACATCAAGTTTTTAAGGGCTTGGGGCTTGGAAAGAGTCAAAGGAATCATTGTGAAATGAAAAAAGTCGGTAAGTCATTCCATGCAGCTGTTACCCGCCCGATTTTTTTAGTTTTGTTCAATCGACTGCAACGTTCCAACAAAATTAATCTCACGGTAGCTGTTGGCTCCAGTTTTGGTCATAGAAGGTAATGGCAGTAATGAAACAAAACAAAAATCGCATCCCCAAATTAACCTAAGCGGGTCTTTCCAACCATGTGCCCCCCCCCTGAACAAGGCTCCAGCTGCGCCCCTGGTACCACCCCACGGTGTGCTTCAGGTAACGGCGCTGGTAGACCTGCCCAAAATAAAGGCATGAATAGCTTTCAGGTTGCGTTCTTCATACAAAAAGCCGACATTGACACGCCCCCGTCGTGCGAGAGGTCCCAGGCTGGCGGGCTCAGTCGAATACACTGCAGCGTTAAACCCTCAGCCTATTACTCGAACTGCGCAGAAGAGCCGTCCCAGGATCCCTGAAGGCGCACCGAGCACGAATGTTGACAGGCCCACAGGAGCTTCAGAGCGTGCGACGTGGCGACGCGATGAGCTCAACTCATGCTCGTGACTCCAAAGCTTGTAACAGGCTCACAAGAGCTTCAGAGCGTGCGACACGACGCGACGTGGCGACGCGAGGAGCTCAGCTCATGCTCGTGACTCCAAGGCCGTGAGCAGGCAGCTCGCTTGTCGGACCGCCGCGCAAGACTTGACTACTCCCGAAGCGAGAACTGATCTCCGTCTACTGAACAACTTGAATGTGTCCCGAAACTCTTCCTCATCACTCTATGTGTCATGTCCATCGTTCACATGTCAACATTCTGTCTGATGTGTTATGCCCCAGAACTTGTGACGTTTGTAGTGAAATGATGTGTGGTTTCATTATTCTTCTTTTCGACGTTGTTTTATTTTGTCGACACGGAGTCAGAACGGGAACGTTAAGGGATGTGAGTGACATCGATTACATAGCATCAAAAACGGACCAAGGAAACAGTTCGTGCAACAATAAAAAAACAGGTCGATAGCAGACGTGCGCATGGACCCCCAAAAATTCCAGGATCCCGTAAGCAAGTATTCAATTAGATTCTGGACTTACCCTTAGGATCCAGGTACATGTCTAGTTAGTGGTCTCGAAAGCTTATTATCACACCAGTCTTGTGGCGCATCCTATCCATCCTATCCATCCTAGCCAAGCCAATTGGCAAAGGGAAACTTCTGCTTTTTAGCTGCAAATGGTATCTAATTATCATCAGCCTAATGCTCACACCATTTGTTTTTATCCTATGAGGATGTATGTGTTACTTGGATGCAGGTTTGGTCGGCTTCAGTGCTCCGTGAGCTGGGGATGGGCGCTGTTTCTGCGGATGCGGTGTCTGCTGAATGGCGCCTGGCTGCCGAAATTTACGGTAAACTTATGATGCAGGCATTTAGGAGTGACCACGACTTAAATCGTCAGATGTTTGTCGTCGAAGGTCCCCTTCACAATGCAGTCCATTATTTGCTTGTTATGTACAATGTCGCGACTCTTGGACCGGGTATCGATGCACGGGTGTACGGACTGCTGCTGATGATAAGGGGTGCATGCATTGGGACTGGGGAATGTCAAGTGGCGGCCCGGGAGCGCTGCCAACGGAGGGAAAGCGGAGGGGCGGGGAGCCATGCCCCTGAAGCATCGCATGGTGGGTTTTCCCGACGGCAGCGACAACTCTGAACGGCTCGTTTGTTTGGTCAGTTTGCTCCCCCCCCCCCGTCATTGCTTGGCCTTCTCAGACGCTGTATCCTGGTAACTCCCCTCGACGGACACCGTTCAAGAGCAGCTCGAGATGTTCGCTCGCGTGGCACATGAAAACTAGACTTCATTGGTTTCGCAGATGGCGATGCACAGTGTCCGTCGTCCAAGGACACCAAGACATGCCCCACTTAACAGGTCCGGAAGAACCGCTTCAACTAACATGATTAGAAATTCAGTGTACTTAGTTGTTTATTGTACATGCACGCACTTCAACAAATCATGTGACGATTCTCACAACCTTGCCCATCGATGTGAGCTAAAAAACGTAAAAAAGTGACAAAGGACGCAAATGGACGGTATGGGGACATCAGGATGCTTCAGTCGGCAGTGGCCAATAGGTAAAGCTGCACTGGCTTCCCTTGAGCGCACTGGCACGAACATGGGCACATCACAAGCTCTAGCAAACCTGCACAGACTTCCACTCACTCCCGTGGTTAGACGGGCCTCCTGAGTCTGGACACATGGACACATGATATGTTGCCAAGCTCTTCTCTGGCCTGCTGAGGACGACAGCGCTTCCCACACGCGTCAAACGCAGCAGCGCAGCTCCCTTCCAGGGTTCCTTCCAGGTCACCACCACAAACAAGCCGTCACTGAGCCTTGACATGAACGGGTGAGATGGTGCGGCGGCGGAGACAGCTTCCGGATCAGTCGTCATTTAAACAAACATGACTTCGATGCCTCTGCGCTGAGAGGGAATGCTTGGTAATTATGTGAATTATCGGACCTGATTCAATAGGAATATCAAAGGATCCTAAAAACGGTCGAAGCAGCTTCAAAGCATGACATGCAGAAGACGTCATTGCCTTTGGTGTTGTATGCCTGATAATAAGTTGAATTTAATGATGTACAGGTAAAAATAAGTTAGCTTTTAAGCCCAAGGCAACGAGATAGTTTCGCTGCCGCACCTTTCTACACGGTGAGCCGGCCGTTCTGTCAGCTGGCCGCGCCACTATTGCGCCTCATCCGCCACCCGCTGCTCTGCCGCTGCTCCGACTGCGCCGCTCCTCCGCGCGCCTCACTGTAGGCCGTCCAGCAGGCCGAGCCGATCCACCTCCAGCGCTAGGTCGAGGGTGTGCTCGGCCCAGCCGGGCACTCGCTCCCAGAACTGCACCGCCGACAGGCACCACACCAGCCCGACCAGCTTGGCGGCGGTGAAGTCGGCCCGCAGCTGGTCGGCCGAGTAGCGGCGCGCGCAGCCCAGCTCAGCCAGCTTGCGGTTGAAGTGGCGGCCGTACGCGGCCAGCACGTCCTCCTCCAGGTCGGCCATCTCGCGCCGCGGCAGCGAGAACAGCAGCAGGTACAGCAGGTCGAGCGCAGGACTGCCCAGGCGGGAGGTCTGCCAGTCGACGGCGCGCACCTGCCAGTCACCGTCGGGCGTCTCTCGCAGCAGCAGGTTGCCGTCGCGGAAGTCGCCATGGCAGAGCACGCGGAAGGCGGGCAGCCGCTGCAGGAAGGCGTCCAGCAGGCGCACGCTGGACAGCTGCAGCTGCAGCAGCCTCTGACGCAGGCGGAGGTGGCTGCCGAGCTCCAGCGGCGCCGACAGACGCTCCAGGCCCATCCTGATGAAGTCAGCCAGCTGTGGGCCGTCCGTGATGGTGTTGTCCTGCAGGTACGGCAAGTCCTCGGTGCACTGGAAGAGAGAAGGCTAGCGTCAACGGTCGCCGGACAGCACTCGCAGGTGGCCGGGTAGATCGGTAAGTTCCGGTTCTATTCCTGTCGTAGGAACTTAACTTGAAGGTCGTTTGCACCGGGGTAGAGAGGTTAGGGGTCAGAGCGATTCTTTCCGACAATGAAAAGCCCGACAATTGCTGCAAGCGACAGGAAGACGGATGTAGGGGCACCGATAGTGTAGTGGTTAAACTACACGTCTGGGAAACCAGAGTTTCGGGGTTTGATTTCCCGCGGTACCCGCCCCTCAGGCAAGATGAGAGGCAAACGACGTCAAACAGCCGTAGCAGCTGAGTCCGTTGCAAAGCCCCAATGGCACACACTTACAAGAGGGAGGATAACTGGATGCCTACGCAGCATGACTGTCAGAAGTTTATTAGCAGGCGTCACAACAAAAGCAATAATAAGGGGGTTACCGCCATCCGATAGGACAAACAATGAAGAGCTATCGCCATGCGCTAGAACAAATAACAGAGGGCTACCGCCAAGCGCTGAGGAAAACAGAGGGCTACCGCTATGCGCTAGAACAAGCAACATGGTTCCTCTTCGCTGACGTCCACTCGGCTGTCAACCGGCGCTAGCACTGACTCGGCTGTCAACCGGGCGCCAGCACTGACTCGGCTGTCAACCGGCGTCAACACCGACTCGGCTGTCAACCGGCGTTAGCGCCGACTCGACTGTCAACCGGTATTAGCACCGCGGCCGGGGTCGGGCGTAACAGGCCATGACCTGACCGTGGGCCTTACCGTCTCCTGCAGCCAGACGTGAGAGGTAGCGGCCAGCTGCGCCAGGCTTCGCACTGCCGCGTTCAGCTGCGGCTTTCGCAGTTGCAGCGACTTGATCGTCTAAACAGAGAGGGAGAGAGCGCGACGGGTGAGCTGAGAGCTTTCGGTCACAGAGTCACGCCCAGCAGGCTGCTGCATTACCCGTCGTGGGTGAATACGCTTTGCCGTATGAAGGCTGTTGACAGTCTTTATACGACAGGTAGCGATATATCATCGTGAACATTCAAGTAGCGACATGGGATCGTGAACATATGGTCCGATCGCACGAACGCTGTTCTGTTAGCATGCCTAAGCAGTTTTGTCATTGTTCCGACTTAGCTACTGGACAGGGTTTCTCTCCCATTCCGCCTACATTGTACACAATTTAGCTCGCAAGTTCACTGGCCAACAATCGCCTCCTGCCGCGGGCGGTGTGTTGCTGCGGTGTCAGTGTCAGTGTCAGTCACTTACCCTGAAGCCGCGCTTCTGCACGTTCTCCAGCACGATAGCGTAGTCGGGCGCCTGCAGCAGGCCCGCGTACAGGCAGGGCACCGTCAGCTCCCGCACATGCCTCGAGCCGTGGGCGGCCTCGAACCTGCACAGCTTCGGCAGCAGGTCCCGGTACACCTGCGGCGCGGGAGAGCGCGTCAGATCGGTCCAGTTTAGATCAGGTCGGGTCAGGTCAGGTCAACTGACCCATAGCCGGCTGCAGTAGAGTCGGCAGGATGTTCAGATACACCTGCAGCAGAGCAGATAGAGTCGGGTCGGTTCAGATAAGGTCAGGTCGGGTCAGGTCAGGTCAGGCCAGGCCGGGTCAGGTCACGTCAGGTCAGTCGCTTGAAACTCCTTGCCGGCACTACAGTGGAATCGGGAGTAGGTTAGAGGCTAACTAAGCTAGGCAGGATGATAATCAATATAAGTATGCCACTATCAGATCGTTGTCTGCGGCATCATGAGCAACTGATTACTTCTTTGGCTCAATGTGTTATGCTCAAAACGTGCGCTGCCCTTTTCCGGACAGAAGAGCCTAGAGTTCATAAGCGGTTGGTTAATAATTGGTTAATAACCCTAGGTTTCTCTGAAAATCGGCTGATCATCCCTGGGTTCAGTGCCACCTGAGCTTTGAACCGCCATTGCTCTGCTTTCCGCGGTCTTGCAGAAGCGGAGCGAGCCATTTCAGCGCATTAGATGAAGTTGATAAAATGGTCCAGGAGCTGAGACGTAGTATTATAAGTCGTCAGTCCGGGTTCCGAGCGGTGCTAAGAACTCTTTAACAGGTATTTGACACATGAACAAGGGATTTGGTTGAAGCGGTAATTTAGTGTTGGTATTTCTCTTTTCAAAGGTCAGCTCCACACGACTCTCTCATAAACAGAGTTTATCCTAACGATCGCCTTCCCCCGCAAGGTTTATCTTAGTCATTCGCGCCATCACATCGGGCCTGGTTACACAAATTATTCACACACAAATCATTCCTTTCCGTTGCAGGACCGCCTGGGACACTTGGGAAGCATCCGAAAAATAAAACTGACGGCCGATACCAGAGTTTCGGTGCCGGCGTCGACAACGAACGTATTGGGTCTCGACAACGGCGGAACGTCCGGGAAGACGCGTGTGACGTCATGGTGGCATGAAAACACCCACCTGCGCTACCGGCGCCAGCAGCTCGTAACTTCTGCCGCCCCAGCCCCCGTCCCTGCACACCGCTCCTCTGTCACGCCCTCCCTCTCATGATCCTTCTACGACGTCCGAACGGCGGTTTGCCGGGGCGACGACCTCTGACGTCACATGAAGTGACGTCACCGCGAAGTTCCGCGGATGGCCGCGTTAATGGGCTTCCCGCCCGCCGGCTCACCGGCCAGCGCAAGCGCTTCAGAGCTCAGGGGATTCCGAGCTCCGTAGCCCGCCAGCTGAGCCGTCCGTGCGAACCCCGCTCTCAGCACCCCATCAGGCAGGCGGCAGAGAGCGGATTGGTGCCTAGGCTTAGCGGGCTCGGCCGGGCCTGCTACTTGTCTGGGTCAGAGCCCTCTTGAGCAAGGTAAGCTCCTGGTAATCACATTCCAGCCATGTCACTGGTGCAGGTGCGTGCCTCCGGAAGGAGGTCCGCGACCGCGTGTCCTTGGAGGAGCCCTTAACGCCGCCGGGGGCTCTCGGAGGACACCACGGCATCCACGCACCCTCGGAGGACACCCCGGCATCCATGCGGCTTCGGAGGACACCTCGGACCGACCACGCGTCCTCAGAGGAACTCTTCCCTGCAAGCGTGCGCCTTCAGAAGCGCTGTATGCAGCGGCCAACCCTCAGACAAAGTTTTTTTTGCTGTCCGTGCAAGTGGCTAAAATTTCCCCTGAACAGAGGGAAATTCCGCTGCTCCAGATGTCGGACGAGCATGGAGAGGGCAACCTCTGTACAGGAGCCTGGCTAGAGAACGAAGGGGCGAGGCCCGAAGAAACGCACTGGAGGGAAAGTTGTGATGCCGCACAACAAAACAAAGTCTGCAAGAAGCGATGATGTTTTACAAGAAGCTCTTTCGTTTGATGTGTTTGAGTCGGGCTGCTACATTAAGCCGACGCAAACGATGTGAACAGAACGAAAGAAGCAAAATGGGCATTTGCAATCATCATTCAATGGTTGATATCCCTTCAGGTAGTCCTGCTCTAAAATAAATATGTACTCATGCCACGTAATACCCAAAATTCATGCAGAAACTCGGACGATGACCTTGCTCATCTAGCGTACTGTTGATCATAGATACTCCACACCATGCATATTACTGTTCATTTATCATCATCATCTATCTTGCATATCCATGTTCACCTATGCGACGAGTCACGGCCCATTTAAGCAAAGCTGTCTTATAGTCTATTTCTCAGCGGAGACTGCCACGATTTTCTTCTTAGAAACCATTCCGAAAATAAAATAACTGACGTTTTCTACAAGAATGATCTTTGGCCGCCCACCGATGGCAGGCAGTTGGGTTTTTTCATTCAGATAAGCAAAATTATCTCTCTGAGTGCCGATGGCTGTCAGCAGCCAGCGAGTACCGCCAGTCTGCCACAGCCAGCCGGGCGACAGACAGAGAGCGAAAGTTGGCGGGCGACGAGGGGCCAGCTACACCTCCGCAGCGTCCTTGACCCTGGCCTCGCCGCGCCGGCGGCCGAGACCGGTTCACCCTGTAGCCGCAGAGCCGGGCAGAGGCGGGCGTGAGCACGACGTCCGGGGGTCAGTAGCCGGTACACCACGTGACACGTCGGCCGAGATTAGCGGCCGCCACGCTGTGTGCCGATGGGAGAAGGGGGAGGGGGGGGGGGGGGGGGCTGCCAGAGAGCGGGGTTAGCAGTCGGGGCTCCACGTGACGAGCCAATGGGTTAGGAGTCGCCGCACGGTGTGACGACTGAGGAGAGAGATCAAGAGGGAAGAGGGACGACTGAGGGGAGGGGTCTGTCCGCTGGGAAGTCCAGCTTCGGGTCAGTTAGGTTCAGCATTATGTCCCCTTGACCCTGGCAAAGGCACTACGGAGCCGACGCCCTAACGTCCTCGTGGGGCTACCGCCACCACTGCAAGCTCATCCGGACTGGGCTGCTCCACAGGCATGTGTGTGTGTGGGGGGGGGGGGGGGGGCATTTACCGAGAGAATCAATCGCCCGTCTGAGCCGTGGAGATCAGGGTGGGGCCGACCTGTCCCAGAGACGGCACGGGCCGAGGCGACGTCGCCAACCGGAGAGCGGCTTAACCAGCATCCAGTCAGCCACGTCTGTTCGCGGAACCCCTCGAGGCCCTACGCCGGGCGCGCGGCACCACGCGGTGACAAGTTGCGCCGGGAAGGGCAAGGGACTTAGGTGGCACGTGAGCCCCTAACGCTACATTCGGCAATCTGATCACTCGAACAAAGCTCTTCTCGCTCCAACACAAAAATGGCAGTTGTCCTGACTGAGAACTTCCGTATCCGCATGCCTTGTCCTAAAACGGCACTAACTGTGTTGTTTGTAGAAGTCTTAAACATGTATTCAGATTTAGACCATGCACTGGCCTTCTGCGCCCAGAGCAGCACGCTCGGAACAGCATGTCAGAAAACGTTGCCTGAACCTGTAACTCATCAGCGAAGTTTTAACATGCCAGTTCATCGGACGATGGTGCCCACAGCGCTGTAGGCAGGCTAGCGGCAGAATTTTTCGTGACACCCAATGCTAAAACACGGCTACCCGGGCCAAGCCGAGTCTTTGGAAAGTTCCGGCTAAAGCTTCCATGTCATGTTCTGCAACTCAGACGTCCTGCCTCTCCCGCCACTCACCACTGGATTGAGAGCCCGGCATCTTCCAAGTCAAACAACTGCAACCAACGAATAGTATATAATACGGGCGTAGCCAAGGAAGGGATCCGAGAAGGGGCGCGCTTAAGGCCCGGAATGTCGTCTCTTACCAGAGAGTTTTCGACGCGAGGTCATACATCGGCGTGCTGCGTGCTCACCGAGCTCTGGGCCCTCCCTTAAGAAAACCCTGCCGCGCCCCTAGTATCCAACGTTAAAGAGTGTCAATGATACACATTCCAAGGCGCTGTTCTTTTGCCAATCTGGTTGATTTGTGAGATCGCGGTCCTTAATGCTGCCGTCTAAAGGTAAACCCCATGTGTTTATTTTTTGCCATTTAGCGTTTTTATGTCATCTGATTCGTTTTCCCATGCTGAATTCAGATGTTTAAGCCAACGGCTGAAGCCTGCAAAAACTTTCAGCTACAAGAAAGGGCTGAAAGTTTGTGAAAACTCCAACTGTTGAATTTGAAAGCCGAGTTCAGCATGAATAGACAAATCAGACGACGTAAAAAAAACGCAAGACGGCCAAAAACTAGCATATGAGGTTTTACCTTTGGACGGCAGAATGGTCCTGCCGGACGATGCGCCGCGAATGATAGCATGAATGACTGTATTTTTCTCGCAGCGATGAGTGGAAACCGAGCTGGATTTAGTGCCAACACGCCATAAAACCAAAAGCATAAATGCAAATGTATATCAAGATGTCTTATGCGCGTGTAAGGAATTTGAAGAAAAGAAGAAGTGAGAGATCTGACGGATGTTCATGCTTTACTGAAATATAAGCATGATTTAAATTTTGAGTTCACGAAGGCGAGCTCGAGGACGAAGGCTTAGTGTTCGAGAGGAAATGCATATTGCTTCACATACATGAAAGGAGCCCAAAATGCTGTATTTAATGCACTGTGATGCGGGTAATATAAATGCGCTTTAAAGATTTAACAGATGAGCCATTGGATATCACCAGTGTCTGAAATCCTGACGGCATTAACATATGATATTGTTTTGAAACTCTTCAGTCTGATTCAAATATGGTGATTCGAGGCATTTTTTGTTCGAAAATTTGTTCGAAAATTTCTTTGATCAAAATTTGACTAAGCCAATTTGCTTGAATCAACGGTTGATTCGAATCCTCATTTGAAAAGTAAGGCTTATTTGAATCTTGATTAGGCTCTCAATTATTTCGGTTCAACATCAGTTTCATCCATGTGGATTTGAATCGAACACAAATCTTACCGGAGCGATGTTGGTATAGGCCACTCTAGATAAGCATGTCGTTGAGGAAATACATGAACATGGCCATTTGAACGCGGACCCCGCCAGTTCGCTAAATTTCGACAGATGGAAAACGATCGGCGCACGCCGCATGCTCTGCCCACTTGGCTTCCTGCTCGGCTCAGCCCGGCCCATCGCGAATTCTGGAGTCTAAAGCCTCTGCGAGTCTATGTCTGTCTGCGCGGGGTCCCAGAGGCCGCTCTAAACAGGGGCTCCTCTACGCGGGCCCCCTGTCTGAGCCCTCGTTCAGCTCTGAAGTTGCGTGAAGACAGCCATTGACAGGGGTAGTGACATGGCGGCCATTATAGCACAATAGCCGGACCTACTGGGCCCGGGACAGACGTGATTTCACCTGTCTTAGCGTGATGCGGAGCGCGAAGCATTCGCTGCACCACTTCCGTTGGGCCCACGCACATGACTCCACCCGTAGGCGTCCCACAACCGCTCTGCCACCCAGGTACCAGCCCACAGTGCCCCTCGTACCCCACTCACCGTGGTCTCGCACTGGAACATGCGGTGGTTGACCACGAGCCGGCGCATCTGCGGGTCTTCGGGCAGCAGCTTGACCACCACGTGGTCGATGACCTCCTGACCTCGGACGTGGCCGCGGGCGGTGAAGCCGCGCAGCTGGCTGCAGACGGCGATGGAGCCGGCCGGCAGCGCGTAACCCTCGTGACCCCGCAGGCAGTAGCCGGCGCCGTGACACGCGCGCAGAATCGCCGCCAGCCACTCCGAGGTCAGGTCACCAGACGCGCGGGGGCCGCGCTGACCGGCTGGCGGCGGCAGATGGCTGAAGGACGGCGGCGGCGCGGCCTTACTGGCGCCCGACATGAGTCCGCGTCGGCGCTGCGACCGTCGCCAGTCACTCGATGACAAAGACTTCCGACCCTGAACAGCGACTTTTTGCAGAGACCGTCGAGACGGCCGAGACCGGCGGCGGAAGGAGGCGGCAGAGCGGAGCGACAAATCGGACCGAATTTGCCACGGGCGGCGACGGGGCGGCGAGGGTCTGCGGACCACACTGGAGCCGGCAGCCGCCGCAGCCGCTTATATGGCGGCTGGCCGGCGCGCGGCGACCCTGGAGTGAACCCCCGTCGGACCAACCAGAGCTGCCGGCCGCGCGGCCGACGGCGGCGGGGGAGCGGTCGGCGAGACAGCAACGGCCGCCGCGCCCCCAACATCCCGCTGTCTTACCGAGCACTGAGGCTCGCTTCTCAGGGCCGAGGCGATCCTCACCCCGCTCGCTGCCCCGGGCGGCATGTCTGAAGAGACTCTGTGAAGCAGCTAGACCGCGCGTTTATTTTCGCAGCTGGTTGGGTACCCGGTGTCAAGTCAAAGACGGGTGAAGGGTTGAGGCACGATGAAAGGAAGCAGACGGCTTGAATTTGCAAACTGCGCCCAGTCCTGAGCTTAGCTAGAATTACCACAACGCGCGTCAGTGAACAACAGTTGCAGTGTGTCCATGTCAAGACGCACAGAAGTGGTCATGGACGTTCCTTTATCATCAGTCGCGCTTTTACCATTAACGCCGATGATTGCACCAATCAAGTTTTCTAACATATCTTTTTTCCTGGAACGAGCAGATCATTCTGATTCCAGCAGTACATTTTCCCCTGAGAACTGACTCCCATCGGAAATATTGTCACTTTTATGCTCGGCTTTTTGTGTGGCCGTAAGGTCAGAAACCATCATTTTATTTGGCCACAACGTTATGGACTAAGTAGCCGCTGTGGGGTGAGTAGCACCTGGTGGCAGCATTTATCATCGGGCCAGCATTTTGCAAAATTCTTCAGGAGAGACTCTCACTACAAGACGGTCGTCATTCGTGATCTCCTAGCGAAAGGAATGACGCCAAAACGACCACGAGCGTGTGACGTAATTCTCTACATAGTCAACTCAAAGTGTTTTTTTTCGGTTGGTCGAAGTCAGAAGCGATCCATGAACTTCAGTCGACATCAAAATCGCCAAAAAAACGCGGCACTACGTAGAAATGAACAGCAACTGTCCAACCCACTTTGCCGCTGTCTAAATATGGAACAGGACTTTGGGAGGTAACACCAAAAGGTTATGTAACCACCGCATAAACTGGCTTTTGCCAGTGACAGATGGCCTGCGACACGTCACGTGCAGGCACGGGGTTTGGAGCGTCACGCTCGATTATGAATACAACAGGCCCTGGTTTAGAGAAGGAAGGTGTTCCTTCGATGGCAAGGTAATACAAGAGCAAAACATCTTCATATCACTTCATGATTTTGAAGATAAATTAAGCATCAGTTCAAATAATGTGACAAAAAATGGATGGGCAAGGTTATTTCTGGTGCGGGCAAGAAATTTGCCGATGTTTCGCAGGAACAGTGGAGAATCACTACCCGGCTTGGAACTCGGAAACATGCGCTCAGGTGTTTCTCAGCAGCCGTCTACTGGCGGTACTCACCAGGACAGCTTGATTAGGGTGCCCACCACGTCATGCCATGGCGCGTCGGACGTTCAACGCCCACTTTGCAGCTGCGACCTGAAGCCGAGCGTTGGACCCGGCCAGTGAGCTCGCGCGAGCTGTTAGGTCACTGGCCACCGGGGGCGGGCGAGCTGCCCCAGCCAGGCACAGCCCCGCCCCGGGGGTGGCGCGTCCCGCCGCCGCAGCGCCGGCGAGAGTGAGAGCGCGCGCCAAACCGAGCCAGCCCCGGTCAACGGCCGCCAGCTGACTCCGCGCCAGCTGAGTCAGCCCACAGGGTCAAGGCTACTACGCCGCGCGCCGGCGCGGAATGCGGTGACGCGCGCCGCGTTCGACGAATCAGCACAGCGGAAGTGAATGGCGGGAACCGCGGCGCGCGCCGGCGCCGGCGCCGGCCACGTGGTTGGGGGTCACACGTCCACGCCGCGGCCTTCACCCCGGACAATGCAAAAGCGTCTTGGAAAAAATGATATTAAAAACTACAGCGTATGTGCAAATGGCGCCGGCGTGTTTACAGCGTAGATGCAAACGGCCCTGGTGTGTTAAAATCTGTAGTGAGCCCGGCGCCAATGATCAGATCTGACCGGGGCTTCCGTAAACGCTAAAAGGAAGGACGTTGGATGCCGATTAGAGCGTCTGAAGGGTTTAGGGTAGGGAAGGGATTAGAGCTGAGGTTAGGGTTCATCGCAAACACCACGTGACCTATCGTGGCCTGACCTACATACCTGACCTTATAAGAACATTTTTCTTACTAACTATGGGCACTAAAAGCCGCACAGCTATCAAGTAGATTAGCGATAAGGCAACCAAGCACCTGAATCGCCGCTTTTCCTTGCACACTTATGAGGACGTCATTTCGGAAAATATACAAAATTGAACATGTCATCTGACCTGGAAGGTCCATCAGCTAGCGTAAATGCATGAATTGGCGATGTTATCAAAGCTGAATAAGTCGTCTACATGATAGCGGCCTCTTGATATCATTACAGTGCGTGGCCCCGAAAACATCAAACTCTTCCAAATTGTAATAACATTATTCGAAAGAAACAGTTTTCAATTCCTCGGCACGGGATGCCCAGACGTTTTTTATTTAGTCAATTTTGGTAACGACGTAGACGGAACGAAATACGGAGAGAAATAGTCCATCTATGAATTGGATGAATGACCATTTATTCAACGTCTTCGTGCTTAACGCATGAAGCCGATGCTGATGCAGTGATTTTAAACTCTGAACAGAAGCCAAGTCAGCAGCCTTAAGGTCAGGAAACATGAAGCCAGACCACCCCATCAGTTTAGAGTGACGAGGCCGAAGTCGAAGCAGAATTTGATAAGCAATGTTGTGTTGTGAAACTAAAGCCCTTCTCGCGCGCGCTTAAAAATTTCATCACGGCTTTACAGAGTGGTTGAGACGAGGTGTGGACATTACGGATGGAAAGGTTGTTTGGACTGTTGTCCTCGTCTTGTGTGCTAATGTGCACACCATGTTCTGGACAGTTTGTCCTCCGGCCATCATCAGGTGTCAGCTGATCCCGAAAATAGCAGGCTGGTGTTGAGCTTTCAGACACGTGTGTGCCACAGCGCCAAAAACCTATTGGTATGTATATTAAGATGACATGATGGGCATGTATGTTTTAGTGAATTGAAGTCGTAACTTCATTGAAAAAGTCACCATGACGAAACCGAAGACATCAGTTCAAGATCGCATGAGGCCCAAACCAGCAGGAACGCAGGCCGGGAGCGGGGAGGGTTTTTTGGGGGAGGGAAGAGGTCTGGTTTTACGTCTGATCCCAATTTCAAGTATTATTCGAGGCGGAAGGAGGAGCCAGATTTTCTAAATGACACAAGGCCGATGCCAGTCCTAAATAATGTCACAAACCGAAGCAGAGCCCAAAGCCAGTGGTGAAAACTGCGGCTTGACGAAGCCGAAGATGAAGACGGCTTTGTTCCCATGACTACCCCTACGCAACGCAACCGAACACCTCCTGATATTATCAATCGCATGTGAATGTCAATCATAATCTAACTCGCGTGGATAGTACCAACTGTTCGATTGCTGCCACTTTAGATTCCACTGTTTCCGTATCACCCGGTTGTCACAAAATTTCAAAAGATACATTTTAAGGTGGATACTCCGTAAGAAATCAACTCAGGTAATCCCAGGCTTCAATTTATAAGTTTCAACTCCCGTTCATTTTGTTATTGTTATACTTCAATTTTTTCCATTGAGGTTTGGCGGCGAATTAGTGAACTGCCGTGACTGATCGCAGCACTTCAAGGTAGTTTTTGCCCACAATTCATATGACAGGGACCCGCAGTGCCTAACGGGAGGGGGGGTCCTGTGCTGGCAAGGGGCCCCGAGTTCACTGATGAAAGTATTCGATGAGGCCCGGAGAGGGTCCCGGGGCCTACCCAAACAACGCAAGAGACAACGGGCTGAGACCACAGAGACAACGCAAACGTTTATGTTGGCCAGAGACCGCCAACACCAAACAGCCGGCTCCGAATCGTTCGGAATCCTGGTGGTCTGTTTCCTGAGACGAAGCCGGGCCCAGGATTTGCATTGGTCGGGGTCCCTGAAACAATGAGAACGTCTGTCAGGGGCTTACAGTGACTAATGGGGGGGGGGGGGGGGGGTCCTGTGCCGACAAGGGACCCCGAGTTCGCCAGGAGACATGCAGCATTTGCTGAACAGGGACACTGATGGGGACTCCGAATGCTAGTGAGCCCTGTGTGTTTGACAGGGCAACAATGACACAATGTGTCTTCAGCTCCCACCTAGCCTTATTATGCGTCAGCTCAGCAGGTCTAGATGTTGTTAAAGTTTGGCCAAGTGAGTCCACATGGGAAAGGGGGGTGCTTGACTACGCTGCTGGTGCACGTCCTGAGTATTTAACAAATTTGGCGGGTGGAAAACGCTACACACTGTTCGGGTCCTTGACACCCAGACAATTCGCGCTGTGCCTTTTTCACTATTGGAGCTTTTGTCATCCTCGGGCCTGAATTTACCGCCAGGACATCAACAGGCCCGCCTGACTTTTGGCGGATCAAGTCACATGCCCAGCACCGAACTAACCGTCTGACCTGACCCCGAGGATCGTTCGCCCACTGCGCCAGGTGTGCCGTCCCCTGCGGAATACTCGGGACCTACGGCACGTCCAGACCGAGGACGTCGTCAGCCAGCAGCAACTCAGCGCCCAACTTGACAACTCACCCAGCATTGACGGGGCGAGGGTCGATGGAAGGCCTGGATGGCGCCAGAACTGTCGCACTACGCTCGATCAGCCGGAAGACCTATGCATTCGCCCAGCATGTCATGGACTTCACCTGCCTTCAAACAACACGCTAGCAAGGTGGATGCGCGACTTTCAGCTCGATGCCA